ACACACTGCCTTGTCAAAGTCTTTTCCAACTGTGTAACTTTTTTAATAACACTGCCATCTATAAACTTATATACCACTCAACAAGTATAAGCAGAGCTTTGTGACACCTTAAAAACAAATGTATTTATTTTGGAGCTACATGGCTACTCCCCTGCAAAGTTTTTATCTGATTGTAACAGTATTAGTGTTAATGTGTAACTTTTTATAAATTATGTGAGCACAGTTGACATGCTATCCTTAGCATTATATAGAAATTATCACAGCTGTAGGTATCTATGGACAATTTTTTACCAGTCTAGTTTTAATCTAAAATATTATTTTAAAATTGCACACATATAACGTAATGAATGGTAATTGTCAAAAAGCTTTTGTTAAAACAAATTCCTTCTTGAACAGTTATAGATTTGCTCCATAGCATGTTCAGTCTAAGAATTTGCTTTCCCTTACTACAACTCTGTCAAAGTTTTGGATTAAATTTCTGAGGTTACAGAGGATTATGGGCATCTAATGCAAAGTTAGAAGAGTGTGGAGGCTCCTTCCATTCTGCAGAACAATTAGGTGGCCAGTTGCAGCTAACTGTGGCAAGTAAAGGAGGATGGGACACCTCTGGGATACATGGTATTGTGGTGGTGCTTTTCTCCTCTCCTCACCTTGGAACACCCCCCAAGTCTTCTCCAAGGTTAACACACCTTTTCCTGCTCCTGTGGGGAGGGAGATCCAAGTGCAAATCTCCACAGAAGGATTTCTAACCTTACATTTAGGAAGCCTGACAATCTTATGTCTATCTAGAGTAGGGGCTATAGGGGTGCCCTCTAAGAAATCCCATTATTCATTTGTTCACTTGTTACATTTATATCCCACCTTTTTCCTGCAAGGAACCAAGACAGCTGACCTAATCCTTTTTCAGCTCTCCATTTTATCCTCATAACAATTCTGTGAAGTGTGTTAGGCTGAGAGTCAGTGACTAGCCCAAAGTTATCCAGTGAACTTTGTGGCTGCATGAAACTAGAATCTGGATCTCTCAAGTCCCAGTCCAACACTCGAACAACTACATCACACTGGCTCTAACCCACCCCTATCAAAATAAATGCCAGTTCATTCATTATGAACCCTCCTTGAATTCCTTGAAAGAAAAAAAGGTGTGATGTAAAGTCCTACGTCACAACACACACTGACGAAGAAAGCCCTTTCTGTAGGTTTAGATTATCAGTGCTTCTAGAAAGATGCTCCTAGCATTAACACTCAATGATGATATTCCATCATTCCTTCCTTAACAGGTTTTCTATGGGAAACACGTGTGTATACACATGCACACACACACACAGAAGCAGTGGTGCAAAAACACAAGAGGCTTACAAATGGAAGATGATGTTGAGACCATCTATCCACTTCCATGGATGAGGCAGAGTGACTGCATAATAAAAGCTTCATCTTGAAGTTCTCCACTATGTGGGACAGGAATACCTGAATCACCTTGGGTTGGATCCAGAATGGGTCAAATGTTATTTATCCACATATTTATATGCCACCTATAACAGCCAAAATGGCCTCCCATTTTAAATTTAATTTAGAAACATGGAAAGCATGAGTCAGAAGGGGCCTCCTGCGCAATCTAGTCTGAACCCCAGCTCCTACCGGCTCCACTCATGACATGCCTACCATGTGCATGTCCAGCCTACCCTTAAAATAGAATTTAAAATTTAAAGTTAATCCATTGAAATCAATGAACCATTAATTTAGTTATGGTTAGCTCTAGACCCAACTCACTGACATCAGTGCAATAATTTAAATAAAACAAGGGGCAGTTACAGGTCCCTTGACTTTAATACACTGCAATATTATTAATGGTCTTCAACAGTCATAAAATCTCTTTTGTTTATTGCATGAGACTGCACTTTCCTTCATTTTGGAACTGACATCTGGATCATGTGTTTCTTTCTTTCTTTGAAAGGTGATTGGCAATTGAGAGAGACAAACACTAGAAAATTCAAAAAATATTATTTATTTCATTTTTATACCACCTGTAGCCAAAGCTCTCTGGGTAATTTACAACAAAGTATAAGAACAACAAAATGGATAAAAACATTAAGAATTAAATTTAAAGGAGCACAAAAGGCATTAAGAGACAATAAAAATACCCAGTCAAGAATAAAAGAAAGGCACTTCACCAATTGTGTCAGCCCCTGAATGACCAGGGAGGTCTTTAAAGGCTTCTGCAAAGAGGGCTGGCTTAACCTGGTGCTGAAAATATGTCAAATTTGGCACCATGCAGACGGAGCAGGGGGGTTGTTCCAAATACAGGGAGCTACCACAAAAAAGGTCCTCCTCTGGTTGTCACCCTCCAAGCCTCTCAAGGGTTTCGCACCAAGATGAAGGCCCCAGAAGTTGAGCATAGTGTCCAGGTAAACTGGGGTTGGGAGAGGTACTCCGCCAGATATTGTAGTCCCAAGCCATAGAGTGTTTATAGGTTAAGACCAGTACCTTAAATTGGGACCAGAAGCATACAGACAGCCAATGCAGGTGGGCCAGAATGGATCATATATTATCAAACCTCTGGGTTCCAGTTATTAATCCGGCAGCCACATTCTAAACCAACTGCAGCATCTGAACTGTCTTCAAGGGCAGTTCCAAGTAGAGTGCATTGTAGTAATCAACAGATTGCCAGAGCATAGGGATAGCCTGAAGCCATGCTATTCCTGTTTAGTTAGGGGTGCAGCTGGGCCATCAGCTGAAGCTGATAGAAGGGACTCTAGCCACCAATGCCACCTGAGTTTCAAGTGACAAAGATGGATCAAGGAGCACCCACAAGATACAAACTTGCTCCTTCAGGGGGAGTGCAAACCCATCCAGTCCATGCACCAATCGCATCTCAGTCTTGTCAGGAAGGAGTTTGTTAGCCCTCACCAACTTCATTGTTGCGGACAGGTGCTGCTTTTGCACATCCACAGCCACACTTGCTGATGATGGAAAGGAGAAATAGAGCTGTGTGTCATCAGCATATTGATAGCAATGCACTCTAAAACTCCAGATTACTGCACTTAGCAGCTTCATGTAGATGTTAAATAGCATGGGGGACAGAACAGATCCCTGAGGAACTCCATGCTGGAGAATCCATGGGGCCGAACAATATTCCCATAGCCCCACCTTCTGGAGATGGCCCTCCAAGTAGGAGCAGAACCACTGCAATGCAATGCAATGCAATGCAATGCAATGCAATGCAATGCCCCCATTCTCATCTCAACCAGCCACTCCAGAAGGATACCATGGTCAATGGTTTGAAAGTTGCCAAGAGGTCCAGGAGAATCAGCAGAGTCACACCCCACCCCCAGCACAGGTCATCATACAGGGTGACTACAAGGCTGTTTCCATGCCAGAATCAGGCCTGAACCCTGTCTGAAATGGATCCAAATAAACAGTTTCACCCAAGAGCACCAGGAGTCAATTGATAACCACATCTCAAGTACCTTGCCCTTGCTACCAGTCTGTAGTTGTTTAAATTTTTCACATCAGGTATTTAAGGCAGCATGAGACCACTCCCTTTTACAAAGGGCCATTGATTACTTCCCTGGTCCAGCCAGGTGTCCCTTCCTTGCTGGCTTTTACAGGCCAGGAGTAGGAAGGATCCAGTACAGAGGTGGTTGCATAAGCCTGCCCATGTCCTTATGCTGTACTGACTGAAATGCATCAAATAAAGCTGGATCAGACTATGCCCTGGATAGCTCCACAGATACAATTTATTATACGTATATCCTACAATTTTTCCTTTCAAGGAACTCATACTGGCTTATTTTTTCCCTCTCAGTCTTATCCTCACATTAATAACCTACAAAGTAGCTTGGGCAGAGGTCTGTGACTGGCCAAAGGCACTCAATTAGCTCCATGGCTGACTGGAGACCTAGAACCCGTATCTACTGCGTCCCAGTCCCACACTCTTAACCACAACATTACACTAGCTCTCAAAGTTTAATTTGTTTTATTAACAAAAGTTACAAAGAATAAAATTTTGGAAAGTCAGTATTCTTCCCTCTTGTAATACTATTCATATTCACATTGTTGGTTTCTAAAGCAACATTCACTTTTTAGTTAAAATAATTTAATTAGATATGAATTACCAGAAAGACATGAAAAATAGTTACAATTGATCATTTAGGAGGAACATTAGAAAAAATTCTACACTTGGCTAGAAAAAGAAGAGGAAAATGTGCTGAAGAGCTCTTCAAGAGGCTAACAGTAGTATCCTATGCATGCTTGTTAAAAAGTCAATTGCAGAGTTCAACAGGATTTATTTAAACTCCTCCCTCCATCACCTGTTAATTTTATGCACCTTCTAACGCACTGTAATGAATCATGTAAATCCGCCCTCTCCAAATTATGCCCTCCAGATGTGTTAGACTACAACTCTCCTAATTGCCTCGTTAGCACTGGGGGCTCAGCTGGCTGAGAATTGTAATCTAAAACACCTGAAGAGCAACAGCTTAGGAAGGATGATGTGAGTTATACTATCGATGTAGCCAACAATTAAGAAAAAAGTTGTCTCTTTGATTTTTTAAAAAAATTGCTTCACCTGTTTCTCGCAGAGAATAAAAGCACAGAGAGCCAGGCCTTGTGGCTCAGCTGAAGATTATACACTTTATATACAGAAGGTCCCAGGTTTGCAGCAATTCATTAGGGCACAGAGAAAAACGCAGAAGTGAGGACTCAAAAAACAGTTCTGGGGAATCGTCTCCTAAGGTTTCAGGCGCCAGTGAGGTGGCTTTAGGTCCTCCTTTCTGTTAGGAGAAAGCAAGAGCCAAGGAAAGCCGAACGAGCCACCTTCTCAAATTAAGGCTCAAATGCCTCAAACCGAGGCTCGTCCCCTTACAAGGTGAAAACGCTAAAAACTACCAATCCCATAATGCTAGCATGATTGGCACCTGCGCAGTGCCAAGAGCGAAAACGGAAATGCGTGCGTCTTCAGCAAGTCCCGCCTCCCCACTTTCAGACGCCATTTTGTCACCGACTTTCACCCGCCACACGACGGTGCTTTTTTTTTCTTAAAGGAGAAGCTACAGTGTTTTTTTTTTTTTAAATCCCGCCTCCGGGCATGAAACTCCAGAAAACGCGGACTTTGTGAAAACGGGAGTACAGGCTTTCGGCAGGTACCGGCTATATTTTCGTATCATTCTTGAAAGCAGAGGGTCGAGGATACCAGACCGGCCCAAACTACGAAGGGTGGGCGACGACGATAATAGGAGGAACGGCTGGGGAGGGGAGAACGGTGTCACCGCGCAGCTCCGAGCATTCAGCTCGGGTCAGAGTGCGCGGAGGCCTCTTTAACAGCGTACCTTCCTCAGACTAACGGAGGGCAGTTTAACTGGATGGGTGAGACATAAACTGTTGAAACGGCTTAGATCTACGAAACGCGCGCGCCACGGCCAGAATTCCGACCGCGCGCGCTCGCGTGCGCTCGTTCACGACGACATTCGCCCATTGATTGGCTTGAGGAGAGTCAGCCCGGCTTACTCCTTGGATTGGTTGGCCTGGTAGAGGGGTGGGTGGGGTGTGTCTTGCATCTTTCTTCCTGATTGGCTGGCACGAAGGGATCTTGCGGCCTGCTTGAACTCCGAACTCATTCTTGATTGGCTTCGGGCCCACGCGAGGGAGGGGGTCTGCCGTCCAGAGGCGGGGTGAGCGGCGAACGCTGCTGTCAGGAGCAGGAGGGGGAGCCGCTGTTGGGGCCCCCTCCGCCAACTGCTCTGATGCCGGGGGCGTCCGAGCAGGCGGAAAGCCAGGAGGAAGAGCCGCCGCAGCAGCAAAAGAAAGAAGAGGGGCCGACTCCGCCTCCCAGTAGCCGCCGCCGTCCCCCGCCCCCTCCCACAGTCACTGTCGAGCAGGGGGAGGAGTCCAGCGGCAGTCGAGTACTCCGTGGGGGCCGGGAGCGCGGACGGGCTGCCGCCGCCGCAGCCGCCGCAGCCGCCGCCGCCTCACGCCGAAGGAAGGCCGAGTACCCTCGACGGCGTCGTAGCAGTCCCGGCGCCCGGCAGAGCCAGGAGCCTGAGGAGATACCCGGCGCGGAGGCCGAACCGCCAGCAACCGCCGCCCCGCCTGGCGCTGCCTGTCGAAAGGGAACCCCGCGCGGCGCGTGAGTATACGTGCATGGCTCGCTTCCAAGAGTTCTCGCTGGGGGAGGGGGAGGGGGAAGTTGGCCTCACTCTGTCACGCACGCATCCGAGGCTACGCCGACCACGAAGAAGGGCTGGTGGGTTCATGAAAGCAGCTTGTTTAGCCTCACATTTCGTTTTCCCCTGCAGTTGTCAGGTGGCAACAGCGTGACAAGGCAGTCCTCCTCCTATGGTTGCTCCCAATTCTGGCATTTGGCAACATATTACTGTTACGTTCATCAGGGTGAATTTTAGCTATTTGCCTTGACATGTTGTTTGCATTAGGCTCCCCAGTACCTATAACTAAATGAAGCTCTTTTGGTGTTTTGCATGCAACTGCACTTAGCTGGCATGTGCCACTACTCAAAGTTATGTAGTATGGATTATGTAGCATTAAATTTCCATGGCATCTAGCTGTTCCCTAGCTGTGGGATACAGTTAGGGTGTAGTCCTTTGGAGATTAGTATAAGCCCCTGAACTTGGAAGTTTGCACTTACTCATTGCAGAGTGGGAGGAACTGGATCATGTTTCAGAGAAGAGAAGGGAGGAGGCTGGAGAGGCCCCCAGATCCCTTGTATCCTAGCCTTACCAGTCTTCTCCCACTCTAACTCTTTTCAAGTTTGTTTTTTCAACCTTGGAGAAGCAGTCAATACAGATCTTCCCTCACTAACTGTGTGAAGGGGTGGGAAAAGGTAATTGTACTACTCTGAGGTCAGAATACAGTCTAAAATGATCATGAGGTCAGAATACAGTCTAAAATGGTTGGTCTGAGAATCTGAAATCTTAAGACTCCTCATTAGATCATTTCCTTAGTCAACTGTATATATTTCAATTGTATGATGTATAATTGCTTATTCAGAATAATGCATGATGTATAGTGTAATCCAGTGAATATTTACTTGAAAGTCAGGCTCACAATGTTCAGTGAGATTGGCTTCTGAGTAAATAAAATTATTTCAAATTGGGCATAAGGTAAGCTTTGCTAGGAGATACATGGGATGCCAACAACTGTGAGAATACAAATATGTCTGCATGCTTATTGGATTATATTGTTAATTAGGGCTTAGGATTTTTTCTAGTATAGTGCAGACATAGATCTCTCAGTTTTTATAATGAGGCAACTTTTCTTGTAGCTAGATCAGTGTATAAAGGAAAGAGTGAGAGGGAAGAGGTGTGGGTGGGAGAATGTGCTGAAAAAACTTAACTGAAATCAAGGATATTTCAGAAGCATTTATGACCTCAATTCCTCTATTGAAGACACTTGCATTTTTCCTAAATGTATAGAATTAACCCTTGTAATCGATTGAGTATCATTTATTTTAGTAATGCATCTATATTCTGCCTTCTCTGTAAGGAACTCAAGTATACAGGGTGCTGCTACTCCCAGTTTAGACTTGGGTCTTTCCAGCCATAGGGTGACACTGCACCCAGCTGTTTCTCTTTTCTTACATTGAAACTGTCTGAGAAGGAATCTGTTTTGCTGTTTTTCTTGGAATTAGTTTTCGTGTTGATTCAGTTCTGTTATTGACTACAGAAGCAATTCATCACTTTCATTTAATTTTTATTTCAGATATCTGGATAAAACTACAGTGAAAGGTAAGGTTATAAATCTCTTTATTAAATCATAATTACTTTTGTAAATGAGCATTTTGTTTGACTTAGTAATCCATACTAGTGCTCAGTGAGAAGTCAGATGCTCCTGAGAGAAAATCACTGGCATAATAATTGTACCTGTTGTTTGCACCCAACATTTGGTAATTGAAAGGTGTATTCCTTGTGAGCATTTCAGTTTTAATCATTGTGGGTAGTAATGGTTAGGTGCACTTGTCTAATTATTTATAAAGTTGTATAAACTGTAACGGGTATCAACATATTTCATGGTAACGAGTTCCATGAGTTAATTTGGCATTGTATAAAGTGCTTCTTTCTGTTAGCCCTGAAACTATTGCCAACTTCATGGGCTGGAGTTGTGCCATCTGGATGGGTGTGGTTACTTTATTTGCCTGTTAATATATTTGCCACCTTTTGTTTATCACAAGTTGCTCATATCTGGAAGATGGCAGTTGAAGTATAGATACCCCTCTATCATCTCCAATTAATATCATTGCAAATAGTTCAAACAGCAAATTCACAAATTTCATTAATACTGTTACTTGCTTTGTCAATGGTTCATTGCTCCTCTTTCTGGTTTCTTCTGATGTATTTAGACAATTTATCAATGTTTGTATCTTTAGTATGTTTTTAACTCTGTTACAGTACAATTAATAAAAATATAAAAGATCTGTTCCAGGCAGAGTAGCCAAATTAGATCAACAGTATTTGGAACTGTTGTACCTAAAGCAGAGTTTGGGTAACTCCGTCTTAGGACTTCAAGTCGTATTACCTTGTACAGAGGCAGCAGACTGATCAGCCTTTCCTTGGACTCAAAAAAAAAAGGGGGGGGGGCTCTAGTAACCAAGCTATTTGTCCCTTATTTGTGTTTGAAAGCATTCAGTGTTTTACAACTTGTAGAGGACTCATGATCAAGACTGAAGCCCTCTGTAACATTTTTCTCTTGTAGACAGGTTTAGGTTCGCCGTGGACACATTCGCTGCGGCTTGTGAATACTGCATTGGCAGTCTTGTTGCTTCTCCAAAATCCTCACTTTTGTTCCTAGGCAATTTGGAAGAAATTATAAGGGGAAAATAAGGTTGTCTCCCATAAAGAGAAAATGTGCATAAAACTGATTTTTTATATGAAGGTCTTTTTTCTCTCTGCAATTGCTGGAGCTTTTCCATAGTAACAGAAAAGTTATTGCATGTTAGCTAACTCAGATTTCATGTGTGCTTCAGATCAACATATGTTGTTTTCACCCTGTTTTTCTCACACAGGATTATTGCTTAGGTTGTGGAAGCACGTTGGGTTGCTAAGAGTGCAGTCCTGTGTGCCTTTAGACAGAAGAATAGTTCTACAGTCCCCAGCATATTCCCCCATGCTACCCAGGGGATGCTGGAAATTATAGGAGATTTTCTGTCTAAACATGCATAGGTTTGCATGTTAAGTGGAACATTTCTAGGCAGAATGGGAAATATTGGTAGCTTAGTACAACTGTTAAGGTTATCTTGAAACACTATATCTGCTTCTGATTGTCCAAACTTAAAGGAAATAAAGCTGAGACAGATACAAAGCCATAGCTGGAATAGAATCAATAAGCAGAGGCTTTGAATTTTATTTAAGGCATGTAGAGCCTGCCTTTTTATAACATGAAGTTAGCTTTCAAGAGTTTAATTATTTAGTAGAATCCTAAGCAGTTTGCTATGTGAGTACGTTCACATGAGCTTAAGCTTCTAACTTCATTGGCCACATAGTTCTGCCTCCCCAGGAGGAGAGTAAAGTACTCTTTGGTCCATTTCTTTGTGATTCTAAAACCACAGAATGGGTATCACTTCTTGATCCAGGTATTCCATAATGTATATCTATATCACAGATCCCAAAGAAGAGACTGAAGAGGAAGAAGTCTCGAATACTCCTGCTAGTGAAACCCCAGTCAGTACAGCCAGGCCCAGTCGAGGCTGGCGTAGCAACAGGGCAACTGCCGCTGTTCATCAGTGTGGTGCAGAGAATTCACGGAGCTCTAGATCCAGGACTGGGTCCCTGCAGCTCATCTGCAAGTCAGAACCAAACACAGACCAGCTAGAATTTGGTATGACTCCTTTCAGTCACTGAAAGATGAAAACATTTGGACATTCAGTGGGCCAGTGTGTAACATATTCTTTACAAGAAGAAGATGTTAAAGTAATATATTTATATGTGGTTAGTACTGTTGCTATTAAGCAGTTTTATCTCTGATAATTACATGTAAAAGAGATAATTGTGCAACTACAGTTCAGCAGTTAATTAGGGTGACACAAACTTCATTTCATTATTGTAGATGTCTGTGGCTTTAGACAAGTCATTTTCATGTATTTTGTTCCTCTTATATAAAATTGGAAAAGCATTTCTCAATCTAGCTGTGGTATGCAGATTCAGCATTTTATGCTGTTTTCATGTAGCACTGAATGCTGCAAGTTCAGAGATGCAGATTAATCCCTACCCAGGCTTTTATGCATACCAAAAAATCTTTTTTGTTTTGTTTTGTAGAAGTTACAGAAGAGCATACATCTCCAGCTGGAATCAGGTAAGAAGTTTTGTGGTGTTTTGAAGTATACTAGCCTCTATATTTGATTAGTGGTTGGTACAGGCACAAGAAACCCTTGTCCTGAGAAAGTAGTTGTTGAGGTTACAATATGTTAGTAGTTGGAAGAAAGAAATTACAATAAAAATTGGTAAAACAATGAATTGATACACTGTATTGAATGATTGAGAGACTCAGTCTTTGGTGTAAAGGACTTTGTCATTTCAGTAAGAAAGAACCAGTCAGGCCTCAACATATGAGCCAAAACTGTTTTCCAGTTCAGTGATTTCCAATACTAATCTGGTCATCTGGAATAATGGAGTTGTTTACTTCAAGGCATAGCTGTGGTCATTCATCTCAGGTGGTTGTCTGCTGCTACGTTTCCTGAAAATGGAATCTGACAATTCTTTGAGTTATTGGAGTGGAGTTATAGTGAAGTTTCAGAGAAGTTGAGATGGGCTTTCTCATGTCAAATATGGTTCTGCTAGAGGCAAGAGAATTACAGTGGTACCTCAGTTCATGACCAAATCAGGTTGTGAACAGAAATTTTAGAAAAAAAATTTCTCAGGTCGCGAACTCCACATCGGGTGATGATCGTGATCATGCGCATCTTCCCTGCACAAGCGTGACCGTGCTCGTGTGCTCAGGGGGGAGATGGGCATGACTGCAATCACGCCTGTCTATGGTCACGGTCATGCTTGGGCAGGGAACACGGGCGCAATTGCGGTCATGCTTGGTGGGAGGAGATGGCCGCAATTGCACTGGGAGGGTGGGAAGATGGCTGCGATTGCACCTGTGTTCCCTGCCCGAGCGTGACAGCGATCACGCCCGTCTATGGTCACGCTTGTGCAGGGAACATGAGCGCAATCGTGGTCGTGCTGGGTCGGGGGAGATGGCCGTGATCTTTGCTGTTCTTTGTTACTTTGCTTCAAATTTTTGTGATAAAAAAATAGTTACAGAACAGATTAACCTTATTTACATTGAACTTTATGGGGAAATTTGACTTGTCTCATGACCAGTTTGGGTCACAAGCAGAGTCATGGAATGGATTAAGCTTGTGGGCAAAGGTACCACGGTATTAGATCAGTGTGGTACCTCTGGCAGGTGTTATGACCTTAAGCTGAAAGTTTACTATGCTAATCTATATCAGCTGTTTTGCTCTGCTAATGCTTTATTGTTATATGATGTTTTAACAATACATCTGGTGGGTATAAAAATGAAATAAACTGTGGAGGGGAGATTTAGGATTATCCCAAGTGCTCCCCGATCTTGCAGTAGTAATGGTAAATGACTGTAGTGGTTTGTAGCATTGTGGCTTTCACTGTTGCTCTTTTCCATATAAATGAGGAGTCATCCAATTTTGAAATGGGTGACAAGTTCATTCTTGTTTTCTTTTCTGGGTTTAACTTGTTATCCACTTGAATCCTTATAAAGACAGAGGGAAGGCAAATGTTCGAGTCTGAATGATACATTTTCTATTTTAACAAGGATAACAAAAAAGAGTTTAAATCATGATAATTTTGCTTATGTTGCACCAATGTGAAAACCTGCTTCTTTTACAGAGTTGCTTGAACCACTGCTTATGTAGGCCTTCACTAGTGAATAGATAGTATGCTGTCTCTGTCAGATGTTATTGAAGAAGTTGAACTGTATTTCAGAGCAAGGCTAACTTTCCTTCTAGTACTGCCTTTTCTCCAATGCCCACTCTGTCTATAATCATATGGTCTTCCTCTTTGTCTTAATACGTATACTGCTTCCTTTTCTGTTCAGGTATATATAAAGTTATGAACATATTCTGTTTGATATTTTTTTAATCAACAGTGATGAAGAAGAAATGCTCATCAGTGAAGAAGAGCTTCCCTTCAAAGATGATCCAAGAGATGAAACATATAAACCTCATTTAGACAGGTGTGTGTTCTGTTTTGCAGAGGCAGAAGAACTGAATGTTTCTATATCCACTATCTTGAATAACTGGGTTGTTCAAAATAAATAGACGCCAAAGTATACGCACATTTAGTAATTTCAGGAATGGGAAGCATGACTGAAATGTTGACCTGCATACTTGATGTTTTAATGTCATTTTTCAACTCTAGAATTTTGTACCTCAAATGTTCATGTTGAAGAGTTGTTCAAAAAAAGGACTGCAGAGCTCACTCAGAGGAAATTTTTTCTTAAGAATATAAATGTATAATGTGTATTTATAGGGATGCGCCAAAGCAAAGAAAAAAAGCTGGGAAGGGAAAAGAAGAAAAAGAGAAACAGAAGGAGATTAAAGTGGAGGTGGAAGTCAAAGAAGAAAGTGAGTTTCGGGAAGATGAGGAGCCACCTAGAAAGTGCGTAAGATTCTGTGGCTTTACCTACAAGTTATTTTTTTCCATGTGTACAAGACTTAAGACCAAACTAATCAACTTGCAAGTGTGTTTGGTGTGCAATTTATGGGTTGTGCCCTAAGTTTTAAAAGCCTCTGAACTTGGAGGCTTATAAGCATCCTCTGTGGAGCAAATAAAGTGGTGGAGGCAATCACTGCCTCCCTGCTTGAAGTCAGCTAGATAGCTGATTCCTGTCATCTAGCTGAAGAACCTTTGATGGGAAGGGTAGGAAGCTGGTGTGCCCCCAGGATCAATATATCTACGTGTCCCCATCTCCTCCCCTCCCTGAAGTACTCAATTACCTTCTTAGAGGTTTCTTGCCCAAACTCAGAAAAACAGCCGGAAAATAGCCAGCATGATTCTATATCTGCTGACTTTAAGGTGGGGAGGAAGACATGGGCACAAATGTTTTTGACTTTGGATCTGAGAATATGAAGGATCGTATGGTCCGCCCCCGCTGCCCCAATGCAGTTTAGGGGAAAAATTATGCAGAAAGCTGGAATGTGTGGGATGCAGTAGAGCATCCTAAAAGGCAAAATGGCTAGATGGAATCTTTTAGTTTTATGTCCCACATGTGGCAAACTTGTGCCCTTATCCCCTGAAGGAAATGTATGTATAGGAGCAGGCATTGGCTCTGGGCATACCTGAAATTTTTCACCTAGTTCTTAGATTTGTGCACACAAACTCTAATAGTGAGTTGAGAACTATGTATTTATCCTCAATATTGGATGAAGGAAGTGCAGGTTTAGCACTAAACAGATACTCAACACTGTCAATGTTGGTACTAATCATCTTTTCTGAGGGACTAAGAATTAAAAGGAACCTACTGTTTCTCTCCTTTTAAAAAGATATTCTGATCTTGACAAACTGCTAAACATTTCTATTACTAGATATAAATCCTCTATATTAGAAGAGAGGAGCATTTCTACTCTAATGTTCAAAACTGCCTACATCATGGGTCTTCAAACTACAGCCCGCCGGCCAGATCCAGCCTGCCATGCTCATTTATCTGGCCCGCCTCAGTTTTAGACTTGCCACGTGTGTGCATGGCGAGGTGCCAGCTTGCTCTCACGGAGAACGTTTTGGACTCACTTGGAGAAATAATCTCCGTGTGAGCAAACTGCTACCTCACCACACGCCCCGCCCCCCGCCGCCGGCGGCCCCCTGTTGAAAAGTTTGAGGACCCCTGGACTACATTTTGAACATACTTTAGTTGTTCACCATGCTTTTTCTCCCTTCCCACTGATCTATTGCAAGATAGGGCAGCAGTTGTAAGGCATTGCTTGCATCATTTCATCAGAGAGATCCATTGCTTCATGGGAAACTTGGAAAGAAAAGAAATCCTGTCTGTTGCTTTTTTACTAGGTTTTTGTAGCAGGCAGCAGCAGCAAAATCCTATTAAAGGGGACTTTTCCTTATTTTTCTTCCCTTTCTCTGAATTCTGTGTATACCCAACAAAGAGGCGGTCAGTGAGTTTACCTAGTAAGGTGAGCCACATTGTGTGGACTGCAGAGATAACACCCTCCCTCAAAGGAATTCCTTGTGCTACTAGAATTGACTGTTTGATTAGTTGTGCAGGTTTATGCACAACTGTTTAGGAAAACAGGGAAATCTCATTTACTCAGATTGTATTGTGCAGAAAATACTTGTTCCAGTATAGGAACTTTCTTTAATTATGTGGTATGTATAATAAAGACTACCACTTGTTCTTGTCCTAGGAGAGGAAGGAGGAGAAAAGATGACAAGAGCCCACGGCTTCCTAAAAGGAGGTGAGTTGCTTTTGCTCTTTCTGTTTAATATAGTGAAGCAGTGATCCAGGTTACACAAAGTGATTGCCTATGGATTAAACAACCCATAATTAGTTGTGGGTGCACTGGAACACACAAGTGTATATGTGGCAGCACACTCACACCTGGTGAAATTTGGCAATTCATGGGTTAAATATCCTGTGAATTGCCATTATATATAAATCGGATGATTACAAACTAGATGACTGAAAACTGGTTATCAGACTTTACTGTTTAGACCAATGTTTCCCGTGGTCATAGCTTTGCATTTAAGAACTGGAAGGGCACTCTTTTATTTCTAGGGAGCTCTAGCAATGAATAGCAGGATATAACATGTTTTTGAACATAGTTCCTCTGCTGTGCTGTCTGCCAAAAACAGTAACTTGGGTGCTTTTGTGTTCTTCAAGTAGGTTAAATAGTAGAATTTACAATTCAGTTTCATTTTGAGAAATTTCTTTTGTCCTTACATTGTACTTTTGCATGCAGTATATTTGTAGGAATGGTTGAGTTGCCAGCAGTGGTTCACATCTTTTATATTATTGGTTAATTTTATTGTCTCCAAGTTCCTCAAAAGTGAAACTGTAAAGATGCGGTATTGGAACAACATTATTTTAATTTTGTAATATTTAATGATGGTATTTCAGTCAAGAAAGCCATACAGAATTTACACCATTTATGACATCCATAACCATCTGTGTGGGACAAAGGTTAAAGTAAACAAAGCATTGCAAAGCTGACTGTAAGCCAGCTCTTTGAAGAAGATAATTATGTATCTTGTATATAGGTCTGATTTCTTGATGCCTCAAAAATGCTGTCTTGTCATTTAAATGATTAACTGTATCTTTAAATATCATTCTGCAAAAAGAGGGGTATAGAACTTGTGTTAACTAAAATTGTACAGTGCTTTTTCAACAATAGATTCCTAATTTTCAATAATGTATTTGCATCTTAGGTAAGTAATAGTAATGAGTATCAACAGGACAGCTTCTTACACTGTTCCCCTCTTCTAGTAGTATTAATACACTGCATTTATACTCAATTTTTCTCTTGCAAGGAAAACATCCCCTTGCAATAGTAGAGAAAGCTATTCTTTGCTAATGTGTCACGTCAGAAAGAAGATGGTTACAAGTGCCATACTTTTACTTCCTCCTATCATTTTTCTTAGGAAGAAGCCCCCAATACAATATGTACGCTGTGAGATGGAAGGATGTGGCACAGTTCTTGCACACCCTCGTTATTTACAGGTGATAATAATTGTTACAGTCGGTTTGTATCTGCTTTTATTGCCTCTGGAAGAAAATATTAGAAGCAGTCATTGTTGTCTGTTTTAACTTCATCTTCCACTTTTTCTGATAAACTGTTTAACCAACACTGCTTAACACCTCTGTTATCCACTTAAGGAATCCCAAATGCCTCTTCTCTGCCTGAGATGCCCTGCTAAAGCCATCCTCTCCCCCATCCTCACTATCTGCTCAAGATTTGGCTGCCTCCTTCCGTTCCCATTGCTCCATCCCAGCTCCTGCCAACCTTGCAGTTCGAAAGCATGCAAATGCAAGTAGATAAAAAGGCACCACTTCGGTGGGCAGGTAACAGCGTTCCGTGCACCTCGGTGTTTAGTCATGCCGGCCACACGACCACGGAGACTGTCTGCGGACAAGCGCTGGCTCCCTCGGCCAGGAAACGGAGATGAGCACTGCCCGCTAGAGTCAGGCGTGACTGGACTTCACGTCAAGGGGAAACCTTTACCTTACTAGACTATTATAGACTCAGTTCATTTTAACCTCTTGATGTAATTGTGGGAAGAAGTGCACAGTCTAAATGAAATCTTGTAAATGTGGCCCTGTGTATGCTAACAGCAGAGCTACTCTGGGAGCTGAGAAGTCAGAGCACAGAAGAGTCAGGGAAAAGAGAAGGCTCTTTCCATGCTCCAAATAGCACAACTTCCAGGTGGCTTTTTACCTGGCGCACTTGGAGGATGTCTTCTGATGTTTTTCTGCTCTTATTTCTACCCTCTTACTTACCCAATGGGCTTTGTTTTTTTTTTTAAGCAGTAAGAATGTCTTTGTAGATCCCCAGAGGGGTTACCTACTTAAATAATGGCAAAAACTTAGTTGAGCATTACTTGCAGTTTGTATTTGGAAGGATAAAATGAGGATAAAATGAGTCTGTGGAAAAGCGTAAATATTGAGAAACTTCAGTTTGATTATTCTGTCTTGGCCTTTTCACTTAGTCATCTGAAGAGCAAGTTTGGTGCAATTAATACTGCTTTTCTAAAGCTCCTTGCTTTACTAGCAACTCTTAGTAAATTATATTTCAGATTCTTCATAGTTTTCCTTTGGATATGTACACTGAAGCACAATGGTTGGTTTGATCAGTAAACCCTTTTTCTTCTATCATTTTTATCTGTAAGCCTAAGTTTTCCCACTGTTCTTTCCAGCATCACATTAAATATCAGCATCTGCTGAAAAAGAAATATGTATGTCCTCACCCATCTTGTGGGCGACTCTTCCGGCTCCAGAAGCAACTTTTACGGCATGCCAAACATCACACAGGTAATACAGGGTACAGGCCAAATCACTTTACTCTTTAAAAGAGAAAAGTAAATAATTTTTATTTATCCAGGTGTGAAATATGTAGTGAATGAAAAGTTCTTGTTGCGGTAATAGTAGAACAGAGCCTTTTTGCACTGTGCAACCCATCTGAGTACACAGAGGTTGGGTTTAAATGGGCCCTGTCTGTGTGCCAAGATCAGGGAGAGATACGCTCTTGGAAAACTTGGATCAGGTTAGTGACAGCCAGCCTGATTCTGACTTTTAAATTCTCTCCCTACTGGGATGGAGAAGGGTGGAGATCCCCCTTCATTCCTTCTATCCTACCCAACTATCCTGATCTAGGCCACTTTTTCTCCACAGCAGAAGCATACATAAAATCTTCGATGCAAAATAGAATTGGTCTATTTGTTTCACTGTTTGTCTTACAATTATTTTATTGCCTTAAGATCTGTTGCTGAATGATTTAAAGTGCCAGAAATAGGCTGTATGTGGCATATATGGTTTCAGTTTTATTCTGCTTAAAATTTGGATTATATGTTAGTCATTCAACAAAAATGCATCCTAAAATATAGTCAGCCTTCAATCTTTGTGGTTTTAAAGGCCATATCCATTTGGAATTAAGTTTTTAAAATGGCTCCTTAGAAATGGATGCAGACCTATATATGCTTTTCTGTTCAGTCTTATGCATGGGTTGGAGAACAACTAGAATACTACTTGTTGACATTCTTATTTCAGTGAGTTTTTTTTTTTTTTGCACTGAACACTGGCAACATTAATTGTTTTTAACTAATTAGCATTGTCTACTTTACCTACCAGACATATGCGTAAGGAAATTTATTTTTGTCTTGGTAGTTCTTTTTCTAGTTTGTTCCACATCTTGCTCCCACAAGGCTTCAGTAGGATCTCTATTGGACAATTATGCTGACAACTAAAATTAAGCTTTGCAAATAAGCCTGAAACATATGCTAGTCCAACATTTTCAGCATGAGCCAGCCCAAATTTATTTATTTAAAAATTTCTATGCCGCCCCATTCGCTGAAGCCTCGGGGCGGCTTACAAAACATCAGTTCAAATATAAAACACATTAACTTTATAAAATAAGTCGCCCTGGTCGAAGAATTAAGCAAATAATATTAGCAATTAAAATGACATTTGAATAAAAAGGTCTTCGCCTGGTGCCGAAAAACAAATAACGACGACGCCAGGCAGACCTCTCTGGGGAGCGCATTCCATAGATTGGGCACCACCGCTGAGAAAGCCCTCCTCCGAGTACCTACCCTCCTAATTTCCTTCACAGAGGGTTCCCGGAGAAGGGCCTCTCCCGCAGTTCTCAGGGGGCGGGCGGGCGTATATGGACGTAAGCGCTCCTTCAGGTAGCCAGGACCCAAGCCGTTTAGGGCTTTATAGGTCATCACCAACACCTTGAATTGGGCCCGGACTTGAATGGGAAGCCAGTGAAGCTGACGGAGGACTGGAGTCATGTGACCATAACGCCCAGTCACCGTCAGCAACCTGGCAGCTCTATTTTGAACCAATTGAAGTATCCGGACCGTCTTCAAGGGTAGCCCCACATAAAGCGCATTACAGAAGTCAAGGCGGGAAGTCACCAACGCGTGTGTCACTGTCGCCAGGCAGTCATACTCCAGGTAGGGGTGCAGCTGATGGATCAGCCGAAGCTGAAGGAAAGCGCTCCTTGCCACTGCTGTCATCTGAGCTTCCAATGAAAGCTCTGGGTCAAGGAGCACTCCCAAGCTGCGGACCTTGTCCCTAAGAGGGAGTACAACCTCATTCAGGACAAGGTCAAGGTCCCCTTCCCCGAAGTCCGATATGCCTACCAACAGGACCTCTGTCTTGTCTGGATTGAGCTTCAGTTTATCGTCCCTCATCCAGCTCATTACCTCGGCCAGGCACCAGTTCAGCACAGCCACTGCCTCACCTGGATTGGTAGAGAACGAGAGGTAGAGCTGGGTATCATCAGCATACTGATGATTCCGCAGCCCACACCTCCTGATGACCTCTCCCAGCGGTTTCATGTAGATGTTAAACAGCAAAGGGGACAAAATGGACCCCTGTGGTACTCCATGGCATAGCTGCCATGGCACAGAGCCATAGTCCCCCAGCACCACCTTCTGGAATCGGTTATTGAGGTAGGAGCGGAACCACTGCAAAGCAGTGCCTCCGACCCCCAATCCCGCTAGCCTATCCAGAAGGATACCATGGTCGATGGTATCGAAAGCCGCTGAGAGGTCCAGGAGAACCAACAGGGACGCACTCCCCCTGTCCTTCTCCATGCACAGGTCATCGTACAGGGCGACCAAGGCAGATTCAGTACCGTACCTGGGTCTGAAGCCGGACTGAAATGGGTCCAGATAATCCGTTTCTTCCAAGAGAGCTTGGAGTTGTTCCGCCACCACCCGCTCCAACACCTTGCCCAGAAACAGGAGGTTGGCCACTGGTCTATAATTAGTGGCCATCTCTGGATCCAGTGACGCCTTCTTCAGGACCGGTCGGACTACCACCTCCTTTAAAGGGGCAGGTACCCGACCCTCCCTCAGAGAGGCGTTAACCACTTCCAAGATCCAGATCCGAATCCCGTGCTTGAAATTATTTATTAACCAAGATGGGCAAGGGTCCAATAGGCAAGTGGTGGGACGTACTCGTCCAAGCACCCTGTCCACATCATCAGGCCACAATAACTGAAATTCATCCATTAATGCATTATATGAAGTTAATGAAATATGAATCTGTATTCTTAAGGTACAATCCTATACAACTTTTAACAGAAAAAGGCCTACAATTCCCAGCATGCCTCCTATTAAAGTGTATAAAATCTGGCAGATACTGACTTTTTCTATAGGAAAAATAAGAGGACAAAATAAGTATTAACACAAATCTGGCACAAACGTTAAAAGGGCTAATCTTCCTGTAATAGTTTGTGCATGAAATGTGGTAAGCGTCAACAATCAGATGTGAACATTGATAATCCTGGATTTTTTTGTTAATATCCATCTATATTTTGGCACAGTGTTTCTTGGAATGTCACAATTAGAAAGATGTTCAGTTGGATACGTATACGTTCAAAATGTTGAAGTTGACATAAACCGAAGGGAGCAAATAATAAGGTCATTCCAGAGAGACCTTCCCCCCTCTACCTCTCTCGTCTGACTACTTCTCCATGGCTTGTGTTGCTTTTTTCTCACCCCTATTTTTATCTAATCTGAATCTCCTTTTCCGTAGGCATTTACTAAAAGGGGATATTTTGAAAGGAAATATGCGAGTATATCTTTGCCTCTGAATATGTGTGTTATAGAGGGTGATATCCCTACTAGCAATTTAAAATGGGCAATGGACTGTGACTAGGTTCACATGATAAGTCTTGGACGCTTATAAGCCAGGGGTGGCTTCTTGTGTTGTCTTAGCCAGCAGGAGTGGTTAGCATGATGCTGGCTTCAAACAGTGTGACAAGGCAATATCTTCATGGAAGAAGACAGCTACAATATATGCAATTGTTTTTGAGAGATGACTTGGAACTGAGAATTGGGAGCATTGAAATTAAAATGCTTCTATGCATGTTGGTAGTATTGTGTTGTACAGTTATGAAGTTAAGACCACATCTTGTTTGTAAAGTTCTGTGTGCTCTTTTACAGATCAAAGGGATTATATCTGTGAATACTGTGCTCGTGCTTTTAAGAGTTCCCACAATCTAGCAGTTCACCGAATGATCCACACAGGCGAAAAGCCATTACAGTGAGTAGTGTTCTGTTCTTGTTTATTTTTATTTTGAAGAATATGCCAGATGTACCTCTTGGCTTCTGAACTAGATTTTGTTTTCTGCATCCTGCTTCCATTTCTTCTGTAAAACGCAAACTTTCTTATAAGTGTATTCTTTCTCTCCCCCCTCACCCCACCCCACTTTATTTTAGATGTGAGATCTGTGGATTTACTTGCCGGCAGAAGGCCTCATTGAACTGGCACATGAAAAAACATGATGCAGATACCTTTTACCAGTTCTCATGCAATATCTGTGGAAAGAAGTTTGAGAAAAAAGACAGTGTTGTGGCACATAAGGCCAAGAGTCACCCAGAAGTTCTTATTGCTGAAGCACTGGCAGCCAATGCAGGCGCCCTCATCACCAGCACTGACATCTTGGGCTCTAATCCAGAGTCCATTGTCCAGCCCACTGATGGCCAGGGCCTTCCCCTTCTTCCAGATCCTCTTGGGAATACCACTCCTGGAGAGTGCCTATTGCTGAACCCTGATGGGATGCCCAAGGCTTATTGCAGTGGGGGTGACCGGGTCAATCTGATGGCTGACGAGAAGATCTTTGTTGGCAGTGCTAGTGGTGAAAATACAGAAGGACTGGTCATGAACACGGAGATCCTTGGAGCTACCACTGAAGTTCTAATTGAAGATTCTGATTCTACAGGACCTTAGTTGGGAGAGGAGCACATCTGTGTTGGGAGAACTTGAATTTGTATTTAAAAGAATAAATGGGGGGAAGAAACTTATTCAACACTGAAAAACTAAAAATTTAAATTACTAGTCAAATAACTAAAGGGCCTGCTCCTCCTCTGCCCCTTCTCACCCTCACCTTCCTACCCACCCCCAGTGGATCACTACACATGCTTTCACAGTTCCCTTTTTGGAGAGGAATGTTGCCTTTACACAGAGATTGACAAAGCAAAAGAATTCTTGCAATGCAGTGAAGGGAAGCAGCCAGAGCCTATCCCACTTCCCACCCTGTCAAAGTAAGCAAACTTCCTGCTTCTTGACCATGTTGCAGGACTGAAGGTGTTTGTACTCTGGACCACTATCTCATTCTTGGAACTCTCCTTTGCTCCTGCAGTTGCATCATCCTGTTCTATGCATTATTAAATTCAAAATCTTGCAGGCTCTTATTTCTTTTCAGAGCTTGGGAATAATAACTTGGCACTTTAGAACTCCTCAGCAGGATGAGCTGTAAAACAGCATCTATTCCTTATTTTTCTCATCTTTTCTCTCCACCTCTTTAAGAAAGAGAGGGGGTACTGGCACTCTGGTGCTCACTTTTTAAAAGAGGGGTGCCATCCTTTTGTACAGTTGCTCTGGCTGCAATAGTCCTGTGTGGGAGAGGCAATGAGAATGGGTGTTAGGCTTGTAAAAGAAAACTTGCACTTTGAACATGTCTTGTTTAAGTTGTGATAACAAATTCCTTATTTATTTGTGTTTTTTTAAAGATCTGTTTTAGTTGCTGTCTAGGGAGGATTTTCTTTTAAAAGTGAAAATCCTTTGTAAAGGATACAAAGCAGAAGCAGCCTCTTCAGCAAACAATGTTTAGGAACTGACCCTCATTCTAAGTGAAAGAAACGCTAGTGAAACAGCACCCCTTCTAGAGAGCAGTGAAGCTCCCATTTGCTTTTGTTGCTACGGGGAAGGTTTTTTTGGTTTTGTTTTTTTGGTCAGGGAGAGATGGTCACTTCAGAGATTTGAGCTGCTGCAGTCATTATCTCCCTATGTTAGGTTGCATTGTTACTTCTGCCTTTCTCTCTAGCTTTGATGGGCCAATGCCATTAGCAGCAACATACGCTTGTCCTCAAGTTATATTGCTAAATAGCTTGACGGCTCATCCTCTAATACATGCTGCTGCTTAGACACTTTGATTCAGTCCTTAAAACACATTTAGAGGCAAAATAGTATCTTGTAAACTTGAAATTTGGCAGTTTAGGTATCACTCAAGGGTAAAACTTGTCTAGTATTTTCTGAAAAACTTAAAGCAACTATGATAACCTCAGATATTTATTTAGGACATAATTTGCATAAGTTCTTGACTATTAACTGAGAGCTTGTGATGGCACAGTATCTTGGTGATAAGTCTTCTTATTTAGTGACCTAATATATTCATAGGAACAAGGACTGAGTTGAGGAATTCTCTTGGGCATGATCATAAATGTTAACTTGTGTTGGAGCAGTGCATGTTCTTACATCTTTTAGTCTAGAGCTCTTTCATAGTTTTAAGCCCTGCTGTGCAACACTCACTAGCATGAACTGATCTTATTCCCAGCCTCCTCCTTTTATAGTTTTGATTCTCTAGAAAAGTCTAAACACCATTCCTTTGCTCAGAAGAAAATTAAGCACAAACAGAGTGTAAGATTAAATAGTCTACCAGAAGTTTTAATCCACATCACATGCAATATACAATTAGTGCGCTGCATGTAATATAGGATCTGTATGCTGTATAGGCTCAACACTGTTTTGGGATTAAGGCTGGCACAAGAAAGGAGATTGCAATGGAAGGCATGTTCTGTGTACTGCTGAGGAGGCTGCCCCTCTGTCTTGACTACAATATAGTGTATTTCCCTGCTCTACCACTAAAGATTCTTTTTCAGCATTGAAGGGACTTATAATTTTCTAGGAAAGAGAGGCTGTAGGTAGGTAGTTGGCAATCTACTTGAACTTCCTTCCCAGCCTGAGTTACCCATCAGCCTCTTGCCTGCCTTTCCTAGACAGCTCTGTTGGTCTCCTTTCCCCCCTCTTTGTGGTATGTGTATACAGTTTTATAAAAGTAACATTGTTTTGCATTTAACCAGGACAGTCTCTTGCACTCTGGGGTGGATAATCTTTGGTTTGGATTTATGAACTGAAATCATTTGTCTTGACACAGTGTTCCTGCTGCTTCCCTTTAAAGTCTCCCACCATAAGCATGCAATTTTGCTTCAATCAGTTATTATAGTAGTTGCAATAAACTATTTCTTCTAGTAAGCTTTTTTCCATGGGAAAGAAAGCATGGTGCTGGGAGCTGAAGCTATATAATCTCCTTCCCTCTGTAATATGGGATAGTTTACAGTAACTAATTTGACATTGACCCACTCCATATGCAGTTCCATAGGTTTGTCCTACCTGTAAACTCTGCCTCTGTAAGCATTGGATCCCCTTCCTGTTAATGCAATGGATGATGTGTATCTCTTCTTCAGGAGCTGGCACAAACTTCTTTCCTAGTCATATAAGAATGGATTCTCTTTTCAGCATTTTATCTGAACATTGATAGAAGACAACTGATGAGAACAGGAAGCTCAGGAGTTTATCAAGGACTAATGTATTTAATGTATGAGAAATTGTCTGTCTGCTTCACATAGTCTCTGAAAAACAGCACAAAGCTGCAACCATAATGGGGTGGGGGAACAACTGTTAGATCCCTGGAGAAGCTTTCCAAAGTGATAGTGAAGAGCTGGGGGAACTGCACTAGAATTGTGAATCCTACAAAGGAGGGGAAAGGATTTGCGATACTTAGCAGAACTACCTGAAGTAGTAGCCACTGGGTGGCAACAGAGCTGTGTTGCATTCTGGCACACCCCTATTTTTTAGTGTTAAGCGAAGGGATGGTTGAGTTGACAAGTCTTTGATTGCTTAAAAGCCTTGTTGCATATAAAATTTCCCCCAAGTGATGGTGGGGATTTGGGGCAGGGTGCCAGGGGGAGGGGCAGTGATCCATGTTGATAAAGGGTTGTGTATTCAAAAGTAAATAAAACAATAAAAAGGGATGCTCTTGTTTTTATTTCTTGGTTATGGCTTACCCAGCTTAAAATAAATGCTTAAAGGGGGAAAATCATACTTTGTATCTTGCATCCAAACTATATGGCAATTGTACAAATGTGAAGGATACTGCTCCCCATACAGTCAGAGCAGTGCAGGAGCCTTTGTTGGAGCACTTCCAATGCAACAATGGTGTGAATAAAGCAACCATGTATGGGAATTATGACACCTCAAACAAGTACCCACTGCCAGAAGGAAGTGCATTACATACTTGGGGTAGAAGCACATGGTTGTTCCCACTTAAATAAGTCACTTGTACAGCACCTGAGAGTTCATTGTTAGATTGCAAAGATAAAATAGCCATGTCTGTCCCCTCAAAGTGCCCCTGGATTTCAGCAGGCTAGGCTTCTATAGAGAGGACCTGCTATCTCCTTCCACAATATATCTGGAAATCCTTTAGGTTATACTGGTTTTTTTTAGGTTAGCCACCATTATGGTTCCTAAATGTCATTGGCTAGCAACTACTTTAGTTCTATCACAAAGTTGGCAGGCAAATCATAGGCCAGATAATTAAGGGGAGGATTGTTTATATCATGCAGCATGTGGATTCAAAAGGAAAGATTTGAGCACTGATAAACTTCCATGAGTGAATTACCCTTGGTAACAGTGAAGAACCATTGAACTAATAGCACCTACTGTATATTCAGGGTGAAAAGCTTGGACAGAACAGAGTGTTCTGAAACCATTTTGGAGGACTGCAGGGGATTTCAATGAAGGGAATAGGAGTGACCTGCCTCACATGCTAGTAGGATGCTAGAATGAGTTACCAGATGGCCCAAAGATTGTTACCAAGGCACCAGAGGGGTTTGCATCCAAGTATCCTGTCAAATATAACTGGAGCTGACATACTGAAGAGTGGGCTGCAAGGAAAATGCCACACAAGAGAGATGTAATCATCTAAAGCCATATTCTTGAGGCTTTGAACACATGGTAGCTGCTAAAGGAGGAATAATTCTTTACACCGGTTGAATTTAATACCAGTTGTATTTAGATAACTAATTGGCTAAGAAATAGCACAGCATCCGCATGGCATCACAGCTGCTTAACAGGTTTGTTTGAATGGAGGAGTAGAACAAAAACCTCCTTCTCTGTGAAAATTCAGTTGGGATATATAATTAGTGCACCAACATGGCTCTGTTTGGTCCTACTTTGCTAACTAGGAGGCAGTGTAGCAGTTGTGATAGTATTTCATTAAGAAATCCAGTGTGGATCAGTGAGAGCTTTGGCAGAGGCCATTTGATCCACTTCATGGCTGGTGGAAAAAGGAAGACTTCCCTCTCTCAACCAATTTTCTCTTGAAAATGTAATAATCCCCATTCTAATTTGCTTCAGAATGAGGGCTTATATGATCCTGAGCAGTGTTTTGCAGCAAATTAAGTGTCTAAAGTTGTTTGACAACTCATTAGGGCATTATAAATGTCATTTAAGAGTGCTTCTGAGTGAGACTTTTTGTTTAAGCTATCAGCCTGCCTGATTAATGGAATTTTATGGGGGATCCAGATGATGTGTTTGATTTATAACCTCACCCACTCACCCATATTTTCCTGGTGCTACTTTTGGCTTGTTTCTTACTATGGAAAATCTACTAAGGGAGAAAAGATGGAATACTTGAGCAATGTCTTTTGACTTTCAGTACTAGGAGATTTCTGTCTGGAAGCACCCTAGAATGTATCGTTGAAATAGAAGACGTCTGTCTCAGTGCAGAAGCTGAACTGGTGTACTTCCCAACATGGTACTAAGCACCCAGTTAACTTTCTCTTCATACCTTAGGGCATGATTTTAAAAAATGACAACGTATTCAATAGAATAATTACCCATCAGGGGCCAGAGAACAAGTTACAGTAGGTTTTTCCACCTCGGTGTTCTCCAGATGTGATGGACTGCAACTGTCATCATCTCAGGCCAGTACAATGATGGGGCTACAGTCAAACACATCTAGGGGGGTACCAGTTTTGTGGGAAGCTGTGTTACATCATAGCCCTGTATAAGCAATTGCCTGATGGCTGCTTTTCAATATCCTTGAAAAGCAGGAGGGTAGTTTGTAGTGAATGCGTAACTTTTCTTCTGCTTACTACTTTTACTCTATTATTTAATAAGTTTAATACCCTGCCATCCAGGGTATTTAACTTTTCAGAGCAACTTAAAATGCCAATTACAAATTTTGAAAACAATTATCACATAATATAACAATATAAGCATTCACTGAAAAAAGTATAAAATAAAACCTGCATTGTCTGAAAGCTGAACTCAAAGTACTTAGGGATCTTCTCAAAACCAATACAGGAAAGACCATCACCCTGGGAAGAAAGATCCCAAGTATCAGGGCCATTGTAGAAAGGTGGTCCCACTTAAACACCAGCTTTGTAGCTCTTGTTGGAAACCAGGGCATCAGAAGCTATTTGCAAAGGTTTGGCAGGCTGGTATAAGTCCACAAGGTTTGTCAGATAAACTAGCACAAATAATTTAGGGCTTTGAAAGCCAAAACTTGCTACTTAAACTGGGCCCAGAAATGACTAAGCAGCTAATGTATAATTGGTGCAGAATAGGTGTAACATGATCAGAATATCTAGCTCCTAAAAGATTTCTTGCTGCTTAATTTTGCATCAATGGAAGTTTTTGAATTGTCTTGAAGGAGCAATCACTTGTGCTTCTGTAGACTACTGGCTACTGCTGATGCTTATGCTTCTACAGAAAGCATTGGATCCAATGCTGGCATTCCCTAAGACTCCCCCAAACGTCCTTTTGGCACAGGGTTGGGCAGCTTGTGGTCGTCAGGATATTTCTGGACTGTAGTTCCAGTCATTCCTCACCATCAGCTATGCAGGCTAGGGCTGGCAGGAGCTGTAGTCTGAGGAACCATAGGTTCTGCATCCCAGCTTTAGCCCACATTTTCAGATGACTTCAGTCAGCAAGAACATAAGAAAAGCCCCATGCTTTTAAATGTTATGGTACCTATAAGGCCTGGAGGCAGAGCATGTTTGTCTTGGCACCCCCTCTGGATCCTGTCCTCACTGAAACCACTGCAAGAGAGAACCCCCAAATCCCAACCCAGGGAGGTGATCCAGCAGAATGCAAAACTACTGAGAGATCCAGGTGGACCAATACCACTTCATTTCTTCTGCCCATTCTCCACAAAGGCAGCTTCTGCCCTATAGCCAGGCTGGAAGAGAGATCTGAGTGGATCTAAGATGTCACTGTCAACCGATGGAACTGAAAAGACACCACCTCCCCAGGATCTTGTCCCAAAATGGCAGATTCAAAACTGGGTGGTAATCCTGAAGCCATAAGATCGAAGGACATAAGAAAACCCATGCTGGGTCAGACTGATTTATCTTGTCCAACATTCTCTTTATAGAGTGTCCAAAGCAGCTGCCTGTGGGAAATGCTTTTTATGAGTGGCTTTATCATTGCCTCCTTTAAAAGTAAAAAGATCACACCATTAATTAATGAGACATTTCATAGAAATAAGTCCAGAGCTTGCTGATTTCAAGTACCTTGGGCAAGGATTCAATACACAGCTAGCTGGACTCGTTCCTTCAGACAACTTGTTTGCAACCTCAGGCCACACAAGTGGATAACTCCCCCTATCTCACATTCTGTTAAATCATGGTTTCTGAGCTAAAGGAGAAATGCTTGCTTTTATCTGGTGGCAGTTGACTGCACAGGCCTTCCATCTGATGTTTTACCAGAGCTGTATTAGGCAGATCTTTAACTTTTGATGCTGATGTTCTAGCAAGAAGGAGTTAAATGTTGCGTAGTTCACAGGTGACGTAATAAAGATGGGTATCTAAAGCCCCATCCTCAAAATATGGTAAGTCCAGGGTCAATTTTTTTTCAGCTAGAAGGTGGTGGGGTGCCCTACACCCACTAGAGTGAAAAAAAGGAAAAATAAAATTAAGCACATCTTGTTGCCTTAGGCTTTCGGACAGAATCTTGGGGCAACTGTGCATTTGTTTTGGCTATCTTCTTTTCAGATAATACTCCTCACTGCATACTTCTTCAACCTATCACCATGCTTCCTGGGAACCATGTGTCTAATGGGGTGGGTTAGAATCTGGTAAATAAATAAATATAATTCAACACATCTGAAGGACGCCAGGTTGTACAGTTGCCCTTCTTTATGGAGACGTACACGCTGACATAAGATGCATGTAAGGACAGCAAATCATGGGTTTAATTAACCAGGGTGATCTGGCAGTGCCATGCTGAACATACAAACTCCAACTGAAAGTTATTTTGTGATATGCAAACCAAGACACCATGGGCTAATAAAGTGAACTGTGGATTTCTTAACCCATGGTTAACCCATACTGTCTGTGTTTGCATGTGATGAATAACTCTGATCAGGTCACTTGGAAGCTCCACTTCAAAATTTCAGTGGCACATGCTGGGAATGCAACCTGGCAAATTGTGAGCTGATTAATCTGCTGCCATTCTATGTAAAGAGGCGCAATGTCTGTTGATGTACTTATTTTGCAATGTGCCTGTATCGTCTACCGCACTGTAATGCTAATGCACTGCTCACCCCACATAGTTGGTTTTCACTGGTGCTCTGAACTGCTGAAAATGTTTGCATGTGTCCACGTATAAAATAGGGAGCACTACACAGAAACCATCTCAGACTACCTGGGTGAAGCCAATCTCAGTAGCTTCTGAGGAAGATGGGCCAGTGGCCAGCGTTAGTCCTCTGCTTTAGATTTCTGTGAAATATTAGCTGTTTAGAGCTAAATGGGGGTTTGCAGTGTTGCCTTTCCAGGTTGAGGTATAACTGGCTGAGTCAGTCAGTGCTAAATTTTTAAAGAATGTTGGGGCAGATATTTAGACAATAGTGCAACACCAGTTAGGCTAGAATTGGATTTAGGATTGAATTTGCTGAAAGGCTTCATATGATGAATACTGTCCAAAAGCAAAGTGGTGAATTGTTTATTAACAATAGATCAGTGAATGCTTTCACAGTAAAATAAAAATACCCAGTGAAAGGTGAGCTGGTGGTAGGGCTGGATTCCCTTTGTGCTTTCACCATGGGTTGTTCAGCCTTGGGGCACTGAATATACAGGGATTAGCAAATTGATGACCAGGCTACTGACCTATCCAAATAAAAGTGGGGAAAATAATACAGGGGAGGAGAGGAAACAAAGAAGCTGCAGGAAAAAGTGAAAGGAGAGTGTGTGGGAGCTGGCAACTTCTGGAATACACAGCGAGTGGGTTGGAGAGTCTGTGAGCTGAAGGAAGTGCTTGTGTTGCTCTCAGAGGGTTAAGCTCCTCTGCCAGGAATTTGCAGACTTGGGTGGTGGGGAGGGAGAGCCAGGAACACAAGTGGAGAATTCTCTGTTGGTCTGGAATGTGTGAGCTGAGCAAGGAATTTCGGTGGATACACAGCCTTGGGTGAGCAGTGCCGCAGCTCCTACTGTCACTCTGGGACAACTGGGTAAGGATGGCTTCATCCGAACGGCCCCTGCTGACCTCCCCAAACCATGACAGCTGCCGCTGCACCATTCACCTCCTGAGGAAGATCCGCTCAGATGTCAGTAGCCTCCTGGAGTCCTACGTAAGTCATCTCCGAAAGCTCTCTCCCCTGTTGCTTCTGTGTCATTTTGCTCACAGCTTCTAGGATCTTTTCTGCCTTGTTGCCTTTTGGAGGAACAGAAGTCTTTTGATGTAAACCTTGTGGGAAAATAAAATCTTTGCTATGCTGTAAGGGAGAGGATGTTCTCGTGATGGTGCACTTGACAAGGTGAGAAAAGAGCAAGGTGGAAAAGGATCTTTTCCCTAGGGAAAGCATGGGACACAAAGGGGAGATGTAAATATAAAAAAATGAAGAAAACCCTGATTACTTAAAATTTTCCAACTGAAACAGTAAATCTCCTTAACCTAGCTTGTGTTTAGCTAAATCCAATCCATTCAATCTTGCTCTAAAAGCTGCAGTTATTTCAACTCCATTTTTAGTTCTCTATCTTCACAATAAAGGGAACAAATCTCGGGTAGCCAAAACAATAGAACTGGAATTGACAAAATGCTGAATAAGTATGTCCATTCCTGGCCTACCCATGCACAACTTGGCTGGTGCATCAGCATAAAGAGCTGCTGTGCAGGCAAAGAGCTCTAGATAACTCAAGCCGCCATGCAGAGTCACATATTGCAGGACAAAGAAAGAACCAAGAGAACAACCAATAGTTGACCTGAAGGAACAAACTGTTTCCCCCTATGGAGATCCATCAAACCCTGTTGAGAAAATGTACTCATGGATGGTAAGAAGTGGTTTCTGCATCTCTGTTGGGAGTCTGTATAGAAGCTTAATTTGGTATTTTGTGTTTGCCCTGGCTGGGGGAAAGAGGCAGAAACAGCAGATTGGAGTGTAACTATTCAGTCTGCAATATTGTGCCATCTTGTGCAGACTGCATACATCACCTCCTGGATGTAGATCCATATCCAGATGACACTGGTGCATTTTGCCCCCGTCAATCTTTATTTCTGGCACACTGAACACTGTATTGTCCTGCCCTCCTGTATTCTGATCACCTCTCCATCACATGTCCCATTCACAGTGAAAAGAGCATTAAAATAGCTCTTTTATCTATGGCACATACATGGGAGTGCCCCCTGAACACAATTCTCTCAGGAATCAACCACAGGGACATATCCTGGTCATTTCTTAGTTTCAGAATATATCTGCTTCTCCTAGCGATTGCAAACAAACAGAATACAAGAACCACCCAATAATGTTGGCCATCTCCCAAATTCTTAATAGGCTTGCCCTTAGAACGCCAAGGGGAATTTCTGTCAGAAGACTCAGGGGCTCTTGTAGAGAAGAATGCCTAAAAGGTAATTGGTAAAGCCAAGAATTTCACTTACAAAAAGATGTCTGCCTCTGCTGCATGATCCCCTTACTTTGGGATTTATTGCACAGACATGCGCATTTCAGTTCCATTGCTGAGGATAAAAACCTCAGTCCACAACACCCACATCACATACTTGTCGGATGTTCTGTGGTTTCTGTATCACCCAGTAGCTGAAGATCTCTGGGCAGTTTCCAGCAACACGTATAATACAAAATAAAATACTGACAAGAACAAAAACATCATAAAAGTTGCCATACAAAATTCAAAAATCAACTATTTTGCTGAAATATTCTCAGGTTTGATAATCAGCTCCTGCCTTCACTGCACTCATCAGATTGAGAAGAAAATTGTGAAAGTGGCACACACATGCGTGTGTTTTGGGATCGGAATTATTTTGATACTCTGGTGCTAAATTATGTTAAGGCTGCAATCCTGCAATGGAGCATTGTAATCCTGAGAAGACAGAATCATCTTCCCAGCTCTCCCTGTGCATGTCCCCATTTGCATGAGAACTATTACTCCAGGTAATTAATACGGCATGCTGGATCTGAAGCACTCCTGTAGCCAAGTGCATCCTCCTTCTTGGTGTGTGCTGCCTTGTATGTCACAAGTGACTCCTTCCTGCAAGAAGTGGCAGAAGTCGCTTACTTTCAGATCCCACTTCCACTACAGCACGAGCAGATGCTCTACTGTCACCACACACCAGGATCCTGACTGTTCTGCCCTGCCCTAATTTTTGGTTCTCCAGAACACAGGAAAGACATTATTAAGAGAGCCAATGTGTTGCAGTGGTCAAGCGTGCAGGGATGGGACTCAGGAGACTGGGGTTCTAGTCCCCGCTCAGCCATGAAGCTCAATGGGTGACTCTGGGCCAATCACAGACAATCAGCCCAACCCACCTCACAGGGTTGTTGTTGTGAGGATAAGACCAAGAAGAGGAGGGGAATTGTGTAAGCTACCTTGGTTTTCTTGGAAGGAAAAAAGGTAGGATATAAATATGATGAATATAAATATATACATTCCTGCTACTTTCCTGGTTATGCTTGAGCAAAGTCTCATTTAAAGTGTTTATTCTAAAAAGTTGTTATCTTTGGCGATTTCTTCTGAGCAAGTAGCTTTTCAGTCATTTCTCCCTAACTGTGTAACTGTGTCCATCTGTATTTATAGAGACCCTGAAGGGGTCGCTGGTAACTGTCAAAAATCATCTTATATCCACTATGGATATTAAGTGCCAAATCATGTTTCTCTCTTTTGATATTCATGTTGCCTAGCATCAGATACTGAAAATGCTGTTTGTTTGTTTTAGAAACTTTATGGCACCTTTAAATCAAAGTGTGGCTCACTGTAAATGCACTTTAAACCAGCAATAACACACTAACAAAAATAAAATAAACTAATAACACACTAATAACACACTAATAAAAAAATAAACATTAGCATTCAAAATGCACCACAGCAAGAAACTAACACAAAACCAACAATATTAACAAACTTTTAAAAAACAGTTAATACTTGAGCAGTGTTTCAGAGCCTCTTCTCTCCTGGAAAGGGGTTAGGGGTGCCGTTCCCAGATGTCTGTGCAAGCAAAATGCCTGACTTCTTCTGCCTACTCCCACCAGCTTCTCCCAGTAAGCCTCTCTGAAGCTCTGTAGCGCCACTGCTGGCAGACCAGTGGTGTTGGACCCCTTTCAGGTCAAGGGCCAAATTCAATTTCAAAGAAGCTCTTTGGGGCCACATTCCAGTGGCATGTGGTGCGGAGAGCAAAAGGGCTAGTGGAGGAATACCCAAAATACCTTCATATGTTAGTTTTAAGTTCTTATGGTTAATAATTTAGCCTTAGCAGATGCATTTCAATGCTGTGGAATGGGACAATGCATGCAAAACCTGGAAAACCACCAAAACCTGAGTGGGGAAAGAGGCCTGGCCAGAGGGCTTGATTAAGATGCCAGATAGGGCAGATTTGGGCTGGGGCCTGAAGTGTAGAATCCATAATTTAAGTGATATGGTTCAGACATGATGGAGCTAGATAGACTGAGCTTCTAAGTTGGTAGTGAGTGGCTTCCTATGAAGTGACTTTTGGGAAAGAATTGTGCATGGGTAAACAAAGCTATAAGGAAGGTCTGCTTGGTGAATGTCCATCTTTACCCTTTTTCTCTGTGTATTCAGCATCATTATCCTCTCTGGTTCTTTTGTAGAGGTCAGGGCTTCTCTTACCTCCTCAGTGTAAGATAATCATGTTCATTAATTGTTCAGCATCAGTCACTTATGGATTTAGTAGTTTCAGTCCTTTTGAGAACCTTAGAATTGGTACTTCTGCTGATTTCATACTTGCTAGTGACGGGCACAGAGTGCCTTTTGACAGGACTGAAGTACTGCGAGGTGATGATTGCATAGAAGAAAGATAAATAACGTCCGTCTGAAGCCTTTTTCTGTCTTCCCCACCCCCTTTTCAATCTTCATTCTCTTAGGCCGAGAAGCAAGCATTGGACAGAAATTTCAACCTTGACTTTGTTGATGGTGTTCCTACAGCTGACACTGAACAGTGGAGTGAGATTTCTGAGGCTGAACGACTGAGTGACAACCTGAAGGCCTACTGGGCATTTCAGATTTTACTGGATGAAATCCTGGAAGACCAGAGATCCAACCTGACTCCAGATGATGTAGCTTTCCATGCATCTATCCATTCAGTGGTGCTCCAAGTCTCTGCTCTGGTTTACCAACTGGAGCAACTGATGGTAACCCGGAAGCACAGTGTGCCTGCCAGAGAGTTGCGAAGTATCAGAGATACTGGTGAAAAGAGCTTGTTTGAGAAGAAAGTGAGGGGCATGAAGGTGCTGACGGAGCTTGCGCAGTGGACTGTCAGGTCTGTCCGGGACCTACACCAAATCTCCAAGTCTGTTTAGGGAGCCACCATCCTCTGGCCCAGCTCAGGCCCAGGAAGGATGAAGCTCCATTTCTCTGTGGGATTCTTACCTTTTCAGAGGTCAATCCTCATTCTCATTTGTGGTATTTCATTGATACAGTACGAGCAGAGTGAGTCCTCTGAGAGCACTAGATGTTGGTGTTTATTTCCTTCAGAGAAATATGGAAACTCAAATCCTTTTAATTAGCCATAGGTAGCTTCACCCAGTCATGTTCATGTAATGTGGTGGTTTCAGTGATTGCATGGTGGCAGTTATATATTCAGCTTGGTCTCCCTCCACATGCTCACATTTCAACCCATGAAGTCCATAGTACAGCCTTCTAGGAACCTTGTCAAAATTTAAACAGGGTAAGATTGGACAGCCAGCATATTTCACGGCCAACCAGAAATGTGTGCCTAGCTCCCCTTTCTCCATTCTGAACCCAGCACCCCCATTGCTCGACCGTTCTGGTTCGGCTGAAGGTTTCCTCAAAATATCGTGTTACCTTTGAGTTACATACTTGTAGCTATTGATGGAAGAAAGCCTTGATTTTGATGGATTCGCTGCCAATGGCTCTACTGTGAGAGTGCGGTGTAGTGGTTAGAATGTTGGACTGGGACGTTGCAAGATCCAGGCTGTATCGCCATCGGGCCTTGAAGCTCACGGGGTGACTTTGTGCCAGTCACTGACTCACAGCCTAACCTGCTTCACAGGGTTGCTGTGAGGATAACATGGAGAGGAAGGGGTCTATGCTACCACTCTGGAGGAAAGGAAAATATATATGTAACAAAAATAATATTCTGATTAATACAAATGTTTTATTATTGATAATAACACTGTTTGCCTGAAATACATTAAGGCTAGAAGTGAGTAGGGGCAGGGCTGGGTACAAAGTCCGGATTCCAATCTCCCCTCTTATATGGATTCTTCTTTAGACCTTTGCACAAGTCTTGAAGAAGGTTTCTAAGTGCATTTGGCTGAGCGTGTTCTGGAAGCTTCTTGTACTTAGAGATCCTTTTTCACAGTTTCACGCTGAACATGCAAATGCCGGGGTGGGTTTGCATGTACACCCCTGCCCCCTACCTACTTTACCCTGCAAGTTCAGCTGAAGGGCTGAATAGAGCAAATAAGTCATCGTGAATCTATTTGTGTTGTTGCAGCTTCAACTAAAATGAAATGATTGGTTGGATCCAACACTCCAGGACAAGCTGTATAGCATAGTTCTGCTCACATCCTGGAACTGGGTGCTCATCACAGGCACCCATTATGTTTGGACCCTGAATGCCCATGGCTTTCAGTGATGGAAGTCCCTGGCTTTCAACTGGGAAAGGGCCAAGCAGCCCTGGAGGTCTGACATAGGAGCTCCACCACTTGGAGTCAATCATGATAAAATAAACAAATGCAAAGAACTAGCCCTGCACTTTTCGCTTTTCGGGTGCTTCATTTAACCATGAATAGCTTCTCACCATTCAAATCTGCATTTCAGGGATGCTTATTTCTGAGCTTGAACATGATGAAAGAGTAAGGGTGTCTGCAAACTTAAAAGATGTGGCAGGTTAATTAGTAAGTTCATGCTCAAAGTTTATTGCTAAATGTCCACTTAGGCTTCAGTATATTATGGAATGACATTCCTTTTTTGGAAATGTGTCCTAGTCATGTTTGTCTCTCATGCATTCTCCCAGAGCAGTAACAGCAGCCTGCAGAAGAAAATGTCGCCTCCCTGGTGCAAGGCTACAGCGGTGGTCCTAGGGACCAAAAACACCCGGGCCCACAGGATAAAAAATGCACAATTTTGCATGTGCTCCAAGTCGTTCCGGGCCTTGAAAAGACCTTGTGTGCTATGGACACCCCATCTGGAAACAGTGATGTTTGGATATAGTTACACAGCCAATCTGTGGACCCTTACTTTGAAATAAATGCCATTGAACCTGATTAAGGATATAAATATCTGGGGGGGGGGGACTTTTTTACAAAAATCAGATTTTTTTTCCCATAGGGTTTGTTTGTTTGTTTGTCCAGGGAGAGTAGAAATAATTGTCTCCCATGGGGTTTTGCTTTTTTTTCTTGTGGGGGATTTTCCCAGGCCTTCACATAATGATGTAGTAAGAATTAGTTCTAAGCAAAATGGATAAGACTGCAAAGTTTGACTTAAATGAGCTGCTGTGGATGCAGGAGAGGGGAGGGGAGTTGTTGTTTTTGGGCCAGTGGGAAATCTTAATCCAAAATGTGAATTTGCTCCCTAAATTATGCATGTGTATCCTTTTTTAATCCATGCCAACTGCACTATAAATACGAGTGGCTTTTGTTCTTTTTAAAACTGCACTGGTTCTGCGCTTTTGAAATATTCAGTAGAAATGAAACCCATGGAGTCATTCTTCTAAATATTCAGCTTCCTTCCGGTTCAGACAACAATTGGGCATGAAAAGCCAACTGGGATTCTGAAAAATTTACAATCTTGTCTGTTTAAGGCAGAAGAACAAAAATGAAAGTGTATTATAGTCCAGACAGGAATAAATTAGTCTCTGGATTTGAGGACTGATTTTATTTGGAGGAGGAGTTTTTACTGGATGACTGTGAACAAATAAAGAAGAACAGAAACTTTACTTGGTGCACAAAAGAGAGAGGATGGAGACATGGTAATTTTCCAGGCCATCTCCCCATCTCCTCTTAAAGTGGAAGGACAGGTTTGTTTGTGAAGATGCATTCATGTATGTGGTATAGAAGTACACCAGACTATCAGATTTTGGTCCTAGACTAAAAATATGTGGGAGTTGGTAAAAAAAAAAGCATGCTTTTTGCATAAATATTTATCAACTTGTTTAACTGATAGGGAGTCATCTCTTTCTAGATTTGCAATATTTTGATGACGGAAGAAAAGAGAAATGTAATGGAAAAAACAATAAAAGGTTTGCGCAAAGGGAATGTAGTGATAAGGTCTGCGGCATACTTACTTGTGGGAGGAGAAGAGAATTCCTGTTGCACTCAGTGGGATGTACTCCTGAGTAAATATACTCAGTTTGGGCTGTAAAGATTACAAAGGAGAACCATGGTGCACAGAGGTCCGCTTTATGAGCATTGGACTCAATTGCAAATCCTGTCTCACTCATCTCTCCCCCTCCCTCCCTCATATACTCCATAGTCTTTGAAACTGAAATTTCCAACTTCTGATTTCAGCTAGCATATGCTGTACAAAATTGTGTCTGTTTTTGCACAAGCTATGAACTTCCAAGAATACCCCAGTTCCTGGGGTCCTTTGAATTGGTGGTGTCTTCGAACTAACAATTACAAGGCATGTGCCTTATAATTTTCATCCTGGACACATTTTCCAGAGTAAGCAGGGATGGAATGGAAGAAGTGCTGGGTAAACAAGAGAAGGTTAAAAGCAGAAGACATGCCTGCCCATCCCTCATAAAATTTGGTAGCCAATGGCTTGATAAAAATCTCACCTGGAAGCACCCTTGGAAGAATTAGGGTATTACAATTGCAGGTCTGGGGCTTCCATAGGTTCTTTACACAGCAGCTACTCTAAACCCAAAACTTCATTCCATTAGAATTGGACCATGAGAACACTTCTGAATGCATGATCACAAGGATTTTTTCAAGCAGCTATTTGCTCCCTACTATATTTTATAGAACAATGTTGTTTCATGGAGTTGAATCCAATCTTCATTGTTCTGTGGATGGAAGGATTCCTTGGCTTGGATCTAGCAGGGGTGAACGGGAAGAGGAATGGGGAGAGGGAGGTCCCCTTCCTCCTGCAGCCCTGGTACCCCCTCCCGCCTGGTTCTTGGGGTCCCCCCAAGCCTCCAGAACAGAATCTTAGGATGTTTTGGGGGAAGAAGAGGAAGCAGTGAAAATGACCTCCCATACCTTCTGCTTTTAATTAGCAGAGTACTGTTCTGGGTCATTGTGGATCCAGTCCTTAAACATTTTAGGAAAGATATCCATTTCATTTCTCTTTAGAGATTGCCTTAACCTCAGTGCTGTTACTGACTTGAATATCGATATTTATTTTTTTTTTTTTTTTTTACATGAGATGTGTCTATTCTAGCAAGTTTTTGCACCTTTAGAATGTATGGAATCGCATGATTGTGGGTGTTCCCTCATTTTAATATTGTGGTCAGAAACATCATCCCCATTAACTTTTGTGCTCTGTCCCTTGGAAGTGCTGTGAAAATATTACGCATACAAAGCCTCTTCCTGCAAGAAGACATTTCTGTCTGGAAAAAGTAGGTCATTGTTAGCATGCATGAATAGTGCCGATTAATCTAGCCACTTAATAAAGTTGCAATCTGTTAGATTAATTGACTAAAAGCTATTTTGACTGATTAAAAAAGGTGTCCCGTGATTAATCAGGCAGCACTATTTTTTAAATACTGGATGAAATCCGACTGGTCATCCTCTAGCCAAATGTGTTCATCCATTGCCTGCCCCCACAGTCTGCTCCAAAGGTCTGGGAAACCCTCCAGGGCTGATGCTGGGCATATGCAATGGAATGCAGGGAGGAGGAAAGATGAGAAAATGCCATTGCTTGAGTGCGAGCCACTTGTATAACAGTGGATGTTGCCCAGGGTATTACTTTTCATGCAAGTAAATATAAAAATTGTAGATCTGAGAAGAGGCATTTTTCCCTTTCTCATATACTGCAGGGAATGCCATTGTTGTGATTGTGCCTGCTACTATCATAGTCATATGCTTAATCTAAAATCGAAATACTTGGAGGGGTTTTGGATCACAAGGATTGTTTTACTCATGTGCAAATCGAATCAGCTATTTAACCGATTAATCTTCACACACTCATGCATCGATTAAGCTTTCATTAATTGGGTGAGAGCCATTATTATTGATCAAAGTGCCTAAAAATTATTTTGTTAAATGTGTTTTATCTTTAACAAAAATATGCTTTATATATCTATTTATTACAGTGTATTTGCAGTGATGATTCAAATTGCAAAATAAATTTAAAATATGGAATACTTCAGGCTGAATCTTCTTTGGGATTTGAAAGGAGGGGTGCAAATCTTCTTGCTACCAGCAGAGAGCACTGATTTGAAAACTTTCAAATTAGTCTTTCCTTGTTGAATGAAATTCCTTTCCAGGGACATCCACTTGCCCCAACCCCCTTGCTATGTTTCCACCAGTGACTGAAGACCTTTCTGCTACACAAGACTTGAGCCTGATTTTCCTTTCCTCTGGAATATATTCCCTGCCCCTCACCCAGGTATTTTCCCCCTTTGACAAGCTTCTATTTTCCCATATTTGTCTGCATTTTGTAATTTGTTTTTATTGTTATGGATTGTTTTGATTCTTTTGATGCTAGTCCATGCCCTGTGCATTCAGTTTTTAGAATGAGAAGATAGCACAAAAATCTTGTAAAGAATTCTCATTTATCTGGGATTAGGGAGGTGAGAGGGTATAAGCCAGTATGGTGTGGTGGTTAGAGTCTTGGACTGGAACTTGGGGATCCTGGGTTCTAGTCCCCACTCAGCCATGAAGCTCACTGGGTGTCTTCAGGCCAGTCACTCACTCTTAGCCTAACCTACCTCACAGGGTGGTTGTTGTGAGGATAAAAATGGAGTGGAGGATTATGGATTCCTCACAAGAAAACAAGCTGATAGTGGTGGTGTGAACAACAGCAATAATATAAAATGCCTTTGGGTAGCATTAAGCCGTGACTCATTCACTGAGCAAACAACCACTGGAAGGGACACACCACGGTTGGATTACAGTGAGGACAACCCTTCTGTACCTTTGTGTGGATGAGGAAATTCCCAGATGTAAATTCCCCGGAATGGAAAAATGCCGTTCTCCGCACAACTTGGATACAGGAATTCTGTATGTTTCTGTCTGTGGTCAGTTTAAGTAGAAGCAACTTTCAGGGAAGTCCTTGGGTAGAGGTAGGATCTGAGGACAGACCACCCACCATTTCCAGAGACCTGATAGCTTGCTCCCGCCGGGGCCAAGGCACAGCCGGAGAAGGTTGGGGCCCTGATTTGTTTTGCCAAGGAGGCAAGGGCAATTTGGATCCAAGGCACCTTCCGAAACATGCCCTGGCCTGAGCTATACAGCAGGCTGAAACTCCCGCAGCAGTCTTCCTACAACGCCCAAACATTTCTGCAGGTGCACCAGGGGCTTCTTTGTGGGATGGGAGACCTCTTTCCTACTCTAACCCCATTCAACCAACGTGCAAGTTTTTACACCTTTGGAAACATATGGAATTTGTAATGATTACAAATCCTGCTTCATTTTTATATTATGAATGACAGAATAGAGAAATTACCCTAATATTCGTTGAGTTCTCTAATGTGAAGGTATTTTGGGTCTGGAAATAGATCATACCATCATCTTCATCAAATATATGATCCAGTCCATGGGGTAGCGATGGGTCAGATGCGACTTTGCTAAACAAAAACATGTTGCAATCTAATGAGTTTGCAGCTTGTAAATGGTTTGATGAATTGGTTAAGGTCATTTTGATCATTGAAAAAGGTTCTATGCTTAATAAGGCAGTAGCCCATTGTAAAGCAATGGATGAAATCCAACTGCTAGCAAAATGTGCAGGGAAGAAATGTGATAAAGCTGCGCCCTGTCATTGTCCTTCAGCGGTTCAGTGAAAGTTCAAGGAACAACAAGTTGCCCTGTACTGTTCACTTTCCTACAAGTTCCTGCCATCCCATTATTGCTGACTTGCCACTTATTTGGTGTTTAATGAATCAGTTCATGTTCGCTGTGGAAGGGTAGGGTTGAAGCAATATAAAATAGGTCTGGTGATCTGCAGAAGGAGAATGAATTAGAGCTGCCCCTCATGCCAAAATTCCTCTGCAAATGTGCAAAAGTTGCACTAGATAGTCCTGTGACAGCAATCACATGCCTGTAGTAATGTGACTTTAACAGAAATACTTGAGCTCTAGCAAAGTTACTGGTGCATGCAGGTTGCAGCCATTCTCCCAGACATTCATGCCTTTCTGCGTGCAGCAAATCTTAAGCCAGCCTGTTTGGTGCCAATGTGGTGTGGTAGTGAAGAGTGCAGGGCCGGGACTCAGGCGCACTGGGGGGCACTGGATGACTCTGGGCCAGTCACAGACTCACAGCCTGACCTACTGCACAGGATGGTTGTTGTGAGGATAAGACTGAGAGGAGGAGAGTTATGTAAGCTGCTTTGAGTTCCTTGAAAGGAGAAGAGGCAGGATGGCAATATATTAAGTTAGATAAATAAGTAAAGACAGAGTAGAAAATGCACCGCAAAATGCTGATCTTGCAATTTGCTACGTGTGAGCCACTGGCCACCCTGCATGCCACGGTCTCCCAAGGTGATGCTCTGCAGGACTGTGGAGCTACAAGTCTGATTTCCCCCCTCCCCCACAGGTAATCCCTGAGCTTACCTGGTAGGCTGGGCTACCTGGAGGTTGGGCTGGGAGCGCATGGCGGGAAATTGCTCAGTCTTGGGACCTGACTGGGCTGCCTGAGTCCTTCAGGGGTGTAGTCTAACACATCTTGGGGGAGTCTGCCTTATATCTTGAGCTGCCACCTTCCTCCTCACACAGTACAATGGAGAGCTGAAACAAACTCAGCTAAGTATGTGGTGACCTTAGCTGAGGAGCACTGAGGTAAAACAGTGGGTGAATATCTATCACTGAAGCTGGCCATTTGGGAAAATAACATATTTAGCTCAGACCTGATTAGCTTTGACAATGTTCCCATGAACATTGTCTTATGTTGACAATTAACTGACTTAACTGAATGGACTGTTTCCCATCCATTGTGCTGCTCAAGGGTGACTTTGCGTGAAAACCTTCAAAAAGTTGTTAATCCCTGCTCTGCTGCTTTTCTTTCCATGTTACCTCAATCGGAGCTGGGGCCTTTTTTGAAACAGTATAAACACAAAATGAAACAGATCTGTCCAATATGTACAAAGCAGGTCTAAGTTTATTAGCCTATTACAAAGGTCAAAACTTCTAGTTAATTCCCTAAGTTATTAACAAGCAAAGCTAGGCGTTCACATTGCTGTCAAAACCAAAGCCTGTCATGATGAGCAGTTTCATAATTTGGCTTCTGATCATCAAGAATTAATTCTATTAATTTTTAGCTTTTAAATTCTGTATGGTTCAGAGTCTTTCATATTAGGCTGCTCCCATATTTGCACTTTCCTCTGATGTTGCCACCTTTCATTTTAAGTGGAAATCCTCACTTTGTGGTCAGACTGAAATATTCCAGTGGGTGTTTTGTGTCTGTGTGTGTTGAATTTCTTCAGGGTGAACTTGTGGAGAATTTCATTGTTATTTATTCACTTTTTGGGGTTATAAAATGTAATTGCAGCCACCACCTGCCCAGAATGTGCCGCTGTCGTAAGGGCACTTAGAGTTATTTAGCTTTTGAACTGAACATTTCCTGCTTTCAAGTTCATCCTATTTTATTGCTCCCCTGCTCAAGCTAGCGGAGGGCTTAGGGCTGGGTTACCCCTGAGCCTAGCAACCAAAACATCCTGTCTGAAGCCAAACAAGCTGGATGCGTTAACTAAGTCTGTGAATATTAGGAAGTGACAATGTTAACCAAATTAGGTCCATGCCCTGGTGTGCGTATGCCCAAAATACCCAACAGGGGAAGAATTTCTTCTAAAAAATATATTCTCAAGAGTAACCAGTGGCCAATGAATCATTCCAGATAGCACACCTGAGCAGTCCTTAGTCCTTTTATACATTGCTCATTAAAGGACCACACAACTTTCTAATAGGTTACAGAAGTAAAAAGTTGCAATGGCGTGATCCTGATCGTTCCTGCCTGCATACCAAAGCAGAAAGAAGATGCTCCAAAGGGGTGGGTTGCTATTACGCAGAAAAGGAGGAGGATGGGGAAGGTTGGTGCAAATTGCCCTTTGTTGGAGCTGCTGTCGACAACTGGCCCTCTCTGGAATGATGCTTGGTTGGTTTCAGCAACATTTCAAGGATGCACACATGCTGATTCCTAGAAAAGAGAGTTTTTCTCTGGCCTACCTATGTGTCAATGATTTCATGAGTTTACCTATTAAAGTTAGGTAAACTTTAATACCTATTGATTTGTTCATCCGCAAGAGCGAAAAAACACCCAAAGAGAGTCCACTGGAGATGCAAAATCAAAAGAACATTTACAGTTTATTCAGACATACACGAAATACATGTGGCATGTAGGCAGCCCACAAAAGAACTACAAAGATGGAGTCTGTACAAGATGCTTTTATATTCTATCAGTTACATACACAGTTTTGGAAGATCAGGTGAGTGATGATGTAGGCAGTTTGCTATAGGCACATTAGGGTAAAAAATAGGGTTGAACACAATACAAAAACAACCTTCAGGACAGGCAAATTATTAGCATCTCTAAGAGTGTACCTCCAAAGGTCATGCTAGCATTAGCATCTCTAAGGTGTACATGGGAAGCAGGACTTCAGATCAGGAGTCCCATCTTAAGTCTAAAGCTCTTCTTACAGTGTCAGGCTTCTAGCAACCATATTATGGCAAAACGTTTGCTCATTTTGTCCTGGCAAAAGAGAAAGAGGATTTCCGTAGTTAATTTAGCTGTTGAGCATAATGTAATTTCATATGCCAGTCAGATGTGACAGTTTCAGACTAAGTAACACTTTGACAAATGCCTGGCAAACAGCTTCTGTGGTGGAGCTGATGCTTATGGTAGTTCAAGCTTCCCTTTTTCTGTAAGACTGCACTCTTGTTTTGCTTCAGCGCAAGGTTTATCAGAAACAAAATCTGGAACCAATGGATTCTAAATCCTATCCACTAAGTATTGGGCATGTTTCAATTTGCCTCATTGCTGAAATACAAAAGGGTTATAGCAATAGTCCATAGATACTTATGCCAGAATAAATTTGTCAGCATTTAAAGTGCCACACGGCTCTTGTTGCTTTTGCTTAAACAAACCAATCTGTCTACTAAGTATTGCTTTGGCTGGGCTTTAAAATAATAATAATATTGACTCTCCTTACAGCATTATAAGAGAATGAGAAGGACTGATTATCTCATGGGCAATATAGGAATGATAAAAGTAATTGATAATAATCATGTTGACTTCTGAAATAAGAGTGTAAACAGGGTCAGTCCAGGACCTTTGACTGTCTGAAATGAAGACAAGCTGGAGCTTATCTCCCACTCTCTGTACAAAAACCACCTGACAGGAGCTGAATGTCACTCACATAGAATCATAGAATAGTAGAGTCGGAAGGGGCCAAGAAGGCCATAGGGACCAGCCCCCCGCTGTTGCAGGACACCAAGTCACACCATCCCTCTCAGATGGCTGCCCACATTCTTTTTGAATGCCTCTAGTGTGGGAGAGGCCACCACCTCTCTAGGCAGCTGGTTCCACTGCTGTATTGCTCTGACAGTCAGGAAGCTTTTCCTGATGTCCAGCCTGAATCTGGGTTGTTGCAACTTGACTTGATTATTCCGTGTCCTACACTCTGTCATCAGCAAGAAGAGATCTTGACCTTCCTCTTTGTGACAGACTTTGAGGTACTTATAGAGGGATATCATGTCCCCTGACAGTCTTCTCTTCTCAAGGCTTCTCACGGGCGCTAGGACTGTGTCCTCCATCACACATCAGGGCAACAGGCTACCCATGAGTTTTTGTCTCCTTTTCACCCTCAGGAGATGTCCAAGATGAGTTAGCTTTAACCTCCTGGGCATTTCATAGGAATAAACAGGTAAGTGCCTTTAGCAAGTGTTTATCAACAAGACATGCCATAAATGTTCTGGGAAGTCGAGGATTAGTCAATTCTAAAGAAGTCGGTTTTTTAGAAATAGCCACATGCCTCTATATTAAACAGACACAATCTATAAGACATTCAACATAACTATACAAGCAAAAGCCAGTACTCTGCCACCAAAGAATTTACAATCTGAATCCAAAGAGTGAGGAAAAATGAGAAAGTGATAGGAGCAAAGAGAGCTGTAAATGCGGCTGCAATACAGTAGTTTCCAGGCTTTCATGGCCAGTTCCAGTGGCAAACAAAAGTGTCCTGAACCATATGTGGGTCAGCCCCATGTCAGGACGTGCCCACCCATGACTTTGGCTCCTGATGAAGCATGGGAACAGTTGCTTCATCCTGAGCAAAAGCAGCTGCAGCAAGCAGTGAGTCAGCCCTGTGCTGATGTGCGAGAAGCGTCATGTGTCTGTACACTGTCTGCTAAGCTGTTGTGCAATCTCCCCAGAGCCTTATTGATAAAATGAGATAATCACTCATATGGCCTTACCTTTTAAGTAAGAAATGCTCTGTTTTACTTTCGTGTGAGAAGTGGCCCAGTCCAGATTGGGTCGTGCATGACAACAGAGACGATTTTAATCCTATCTCTGGGCGGAGGCCACCACTTGGCAGTATAATTGCAGGCATGGGGGCCCTGATCCAGAAAAGGCCCACGTTGTCTGTGGGGGAGGAGGGATAGAGCCCTCTGCCCTCCCATGCAAGGCCATAATTTGGATTAGTCCCTTTCCTGTGCTTACACAAGAGTAACAAAAGAGGAAGAAAGGCTGTAACAGTGTTTGTGTTAACCCTCAGTTTAAAAAGCAAGGCTTTGATCTAAGATGTCAATGAATTTGTAAGCCTGGGTATGTACAAATGATATTCAAAGCACGTTCCCAGGTGGCAATTCAGTGGCTGAGTGCCTGCTTCCTATGCAGATAGTTCTGGGTTCAATCCTTAGCATTTCCAGGCAGGGCAGGGAAGGATTCCCATCTAAGACTGAAGAAAGCCACAGTCAATCCATGCAGAGCAGATAACTTTGGGCTGGATGGGTCAATGGCCTGACCTGATATACAGCATCTTCCTGCATTCAGAAATGTCCCAATGACTCCAGTGCAGCTTATTCCCAGTTAAGTGTGTGTAGGATTGCATCCTCCTTTCTGGGTTATAAAAAGTATTTTGTTCAACAAGCAGGTGTGATGCGTTAGACAGGATGCTGGACATTGACCAAAGATAACTGAGCTTGACTCTCCATTCACCTGTGAAGCGTAGTGGCAAGTCATTTTCTCTCTCAGCCTGATCTCCCTGGTGGCATTATGAGAATAAAATGGGATAACTGCATATCAGTTCACCAGAAAGAACACATAATACCTCATGAAGGCCCTGAACACTTCGAAGATGGCCCAGTATGTAAAAGGGATCAGCACATAATGAAATGCTGGGTGTATTTGACCTGAGCCTCTCATGACTGAATGGATCTGCATGTGCTGAATCCAGTAGAGTTGTGGCACTTTAAAGACCAGATTTATTGTGGCATGAGCTTCCCTGGATCACAGTCTAGGAGTACCTGCTGTAGGGGGCAGGTACCCACAAAAGGCTTGTGCCAGGCTGAATTTGTTCCTTTTGAAGATGCTGTGAGACCAAAGCAATGGTTCTTCTTGTGACCATTTAGCACAGCTACCCCCTGCAATGAGTCCAGGTGTGCATGAGTTCAGTTGCCTGCTCTGATTTAATGCTTCACTCTCATGTTGCCTCTGCTCATTAGCAATAATATAGTACTGCAGGAATGCACAAGGAGTAAATATCTAAAAATACATACATCTCAGAATGAATTAGTTAGAAAAAGGCCAAAGGAATCTTGTTTCTGCTCAGTGCTTCAGCTTGCTTATTTGTTAGAGGATCAGGTATCGCTTTCCAACAGTCATGGTACAATAAAAGTACAACCAATAAAACAAAAACCCTCATGTAAGCAACACCTTAACTCTTAATATGCTGCCACAAGAGTTGCTCTGCCTTTATGATTACACATCGCCCCAGCCTTTGCTTTCTATGTACCTCCTCCCTCCATACCTGTCTCACTATCCCCATTTCAATGTAATTTATTCCCTTTCCACTGTAGAACTCTAGTTATCAGTTCTGCGTTTTTTTCCCTTCATTCCTGCAGAAATCTAATATTGCACTTGCTAAAGCCATTACATTACATTCATTTCCTTTTTCTTAATTTTACCTGTATGCATTAAGTGTTAGAGGAAGTTTATTTCTCTTCCCACCACTGCAGCCCCAAACCATTGCATAAACCTGGATTTCAATACTAGGCAATGTTGGGGTTAATGCTTGCTCCCCACAACCCCATCAATTACTATTCTTTTCCCCCACCCCTTTCCTGGACTCATACGCTCTCACTGAAACTATGCAGGGTAGCTCCAGGGTACACATAAAAAGCCATTAGACAGCACTGGGTTCTGGAGGACTTGCTGTAGCTCCGTAGGTTCCTTGGTCCTCTACTAGACGCTCAGAGGCTGAGGAAACCTCCTGGTAGCCTCTCGTCTTGGAGCGCCGAATTCTATAAACTATGACAGCTACAATAATTGTGCAGATAGCCACTGTGGCCACTGAAATTCCAGCAATGGAGCCCCCTGTCAGTTGTGAGCCGTCCTCTCCCTGGAAAAGAAGAGCCATTTCCTTCTCATCGGTGGCATTGGCCAGCCTCCAGCTCCCGCTTTGACGCATCTTCACCCAGGCTTGGTTACCCTCGCGGCGCACCAGGATGGCTTCTGGAGGGTTGGGGTTCGAGGATGGTGCCCGCAAAAAGGGTGGGAGCTGGATGGGTGCCAGCTGCTGGGCAAAAAGGGCCCCCGCTTGCAAGCAATAGTCAATCTGGCAGCCATCGCTCAAGTAGGCCTTGTGCTGGCTGTATCCAACTGGGCACTTCATGGGGAATTTGGTTGGCGAGCCCCGGAAGAAGAAATCCTGGACCATCCCGGGGCTCTGCCCCTTCAGCACCCCAGCCAAAGGGTTGCCAGCCTTGCAGCTGAAGAAGCCACCGAAGGGCATTGCGGACCGGGATCCCATCTCATAGTCTCCGCTGACACACACCTTGAAATCATCAAACAGCACCAGTGGGAAGAAGTAGGGTGGGCAGGCATAAGTGCCAGTCAACGGGTTCAAGCTCCCGGTGCTATACAGCCCTCCAAAGAGGAAGCCCGAGTCCTGAGGCACGGAGCTTGTTGCGGCACACCAGTAGCCGTTGAGCTGCATGGTGCTGGGGACATAACGGACCCCGCACACCGTGCGGCAGCAGGTGAAAACCAGCCAGCAGGAGTGGCACTGCTTATGGCACTCCTGCGTGGGCGTGCTGGCCGTGCGCTGCTCCCCATGCAGCAGCACGGCGGAATAGTTGTCCGGGCATGAGTAGTCTCCCGTCAGCGGGTTCGGGGTGCGGTAGGGCTGGCAAAGGCTCTCCGTGTCCGGGCCAGACACACCATAGCACTCCTGGAAGACGCCGGCAAAGCTGAAGTTGGTGTATGGTTTGTGGCAGGACCCGTCGTCCACGTTGGCCTGGAAGTTGAAGTTGCTAGCATCTGGCTTGACACAGCCTGGGTGAGTGTTGACGGCGTAATAGAGGCGGATGGCATTCTTCACTGCCTTGGCTACTCGCCGGACGGTGGGTTCGGGCAGTTCTGGCAAGGCCTCCGGGGTGATGAAGAAGGGCAGAGGCAGCCCAGACTTGCCTATGGCCACTAAGCCATTGGCAATGCCCTCCTGCCACTTCTGGAGAGTGATGCCAGGGTAGAAGGGCATGCTGCCCCAGCTCTCCACCTTGGAATCCACCGTGTTTGCCAAGTAGCCCTTAGTCAGGTCATCCCAGGCATCCACAGAGAGGTTAATTCCCACATTGATCTTGCTGAAAAAAGTGGCTGATGCGGCGGCCGTGATGCCTACTTTCTCCGACTGCTTGTCTAACAAAAACCTGCGCTTCACCTGGTCCTCCTGTATGAGGCTGGCACCGGCCTCCAGACTGGTGAGGACGTGGGTGCCGTAGTTGAGAACGAGCATCTCTGCAAGGTACTCAGCGGCCCGGCTTTGGTTGTTCTCCAAGTGGTTGCCCAGGTTCACCAGCTGGTGGCGAAAGTCCTTGTGCAAGGAGAAGGACGGCTGTGCTTTCACGGAATAGATGTGGTATCGTGCCTGCACCCTTGTGGTGAAGGTCTCATCATAGACATTGTGCATCTTGGTCTGCTGAGAGCTGTATGAGAATTTGCCATTGAGCACAGACAGGAAAGAAGCCTCAGCATTGATGGAGAAGGCAAAGGCATCAGTATAGGTCAGCCAGTCCTGTATAAGCTCCGAGTGGACTTCCACCGTGCTCTTCTTGAGCGGCACCACGAAGACATTGTTGGGGATAAGATATTCACCATCTTCTGTGGTCCGGCACAGAGAGTAGTTAAGGCTCATCACCATCCCCATCTCCATATTGCGCAGGTTGTCCCAACCACCCCCAGGCAGCACTTCCAGCACTTTGAGACCTTGCTGCTTGCAGGCCTCGAAGCCCAGATCTTGGGCACCCCCAAAACCAAGAAAGACCACAACCAAGGGAGACCAAAGCCAAAGAGCCATGCTTCTGGGAGGGAAAAGCCACTTCAATGGCACAGTCCTGCAAAACAACAAAGGATGTTGTTAATTAGAGGCCAATTTGTGGGTTGTTATGGCAGAAGCTTTTGCGGACTACAGCATACTTCGTTATGCATGAAAGTGCAGATCACCAGAGGCTCAGCTGAGGGCTACCTGCACACATGGCTAGGAAGGAGAGGGGTGCAGGGAAGGACAAGAAGGGTGTAAAATGGCAAGGCAAGGCAAAAATATTGGTCTGTGGCAGTTCAGTTCAAGCTTAAAATTGGTGCAGGACTAACAAGGGGACCATTCATGGCAGCAGTAAGTAGTAATAATGCAAGGACCTGAGCGCTGCAAAGTAAAGGTACTTCCAGACAAGCCCCCTGTTGTAGCCTTCTGTGTTTTCCCAGAAAAATAATGGACAAATCCATTAAGGAAGAAATTTGAAATACCTGCACAATACCTTTTGGTGGTAAGTACCAAGAACCCTGAAAGCACACTAAGGTAATGCTTACTGGGTTAAGGAAACTACCAAGACAGCAGTGCTTTGCTGCCCCAGCCTAAGGAGGAAAGTATATATGTGGTTTTATGTATGCGTTGAAGAAAGAATGCTTAACCAGGTTGTTCTTATTTTAAAGAAAAGGAAGCCATTCAAGAAGTGGAGTGGGTAGCAGAACACCCCATCCCTGGATGCTATTTGCCGGCTGAAAATGCTGTAGAAAACCAGCAGGAGTCAAATCTAGGTAGGAGAAACATTCTTGGTCAAGACCACACAATGGCTTTTTCTTGAAAATAGAAGCAGCCAAGTTTTGCAGTTCTGCTTAAAAGCCCGAAGAACCTTTAAGGTGGTTTAATCCTGGCTATTTCTCCTGAAAAAGCAGACATTACCTGATCTTGCGCCAAGCTCCTTCCTCTCCTTCCTTCGATTCTTCCACGGAAGCTTCCTTAATCTTTTTCTGAAATGCAAACTCAGCTGGTTTTCTGAGATTGCCTTTGCTCTACAGGAAGTATCTGGTTTTAAAGAAGAGCGAATGAAGGGGGAGGAGCAAGGTAGGGCAGAGAGGGGAATCCCGATCATCTAGTCCCATCGTTGGTGTAATACCGCTGCTGAGCCTGCCCTTGTGTGAGGGGCTCTCAGATGACTCACCAGTCATCTGACCTCGTGCCTCAATGCCAAGCAAAAAGGGAATCGAAACCTGTCTTTGAAAATCCCTTCTGTGATTTGCACGGCCTTTCATGTACTTCCCCTTTGCCCTTCCTTTCCGTGGCATATTTACATTAGAAGCAGTTGCCATTGAACTCTGGAATTTCCCTCTCCAGGCAAAAATGAAAGCAAAACAATTCCTGACCAGGCACATGCCATATCCAACCTTTGCTTTTTGCCCTACCATTTGGTGGTATTTACATTAGAAGCAGTTTATTTATTTATTTCTCCTTCATGGATCACTGCCTTGTCGTGGCGCAGGGTCTTGTGTAGCTCAATGAAGCTATGAGCTATGCCGTGCAGGGCCACCCAAGACGGACAGGTCATAGCAGAGAGCTCTGACAAAACGTGATCCATTGGAGAAGGAAATGGCAACCCACTCCAGTATCTTTGCCATGAAAACTCCATGGACAATACCAAAAGGCAAAAAGATATGACGCTGGAAGATGAGCCCATCAGGTCGGAAGGTGTCCAATATGCTACTGGGGAAGAGCAGAGGGCTAGTACTAGTAGCCCCAGAAAGAATGAAGCATCTGGGTCAAAGCCAAAAGGACACTCAGTTGCAGATGTATCTGGTGGTGAAAGGAAAGTCTGATGCTGCAAAGATCTATACTCCATGGGAACCTGGAATGTAAGATCCATGAATCAAGGCAAGCTGGACATGGTCAAACAAGAGATGACAAGACTGAACATCGACATCTTAGGAAGCAGTGAACTAAAATGGATAGGAATGGGTGAATTTCACCTTGATGGCCATCATATATACTACTGTGGGCAAGAATCCCTCAGAAGAAATGGAGTAGCCTTCATAGTCAATAAAAGAGTAGGAAAAGCAGTACTGGGATACAATCTCCAAAATGACAATGATCTCAGTTCGAATCCAAGGCAAACCATTCAACATTACAGTAGTCCAAGTCTATGCCCCAACCACTGGTGCTGAAGAGGCTGAAGTTGACCCATTCTATGAAGGCCTACAACACCTTCTAGAATTAACACCCAAAAATGATGTCCTTCTCATCATGGGGGATTGGAATACTAAAGTAGGAAGCCAAAAAATAACCGGAATAACAGGCAAGTTTGGCCTTGGAGTACAAAATGAAGCAGGGCACAGGCTGGTAAAATTTTGTCAAGAGAACATGCTGGTCATAGCAAACACTCTTTTCCAACAACCCAAGAGACGACTCTACACATGGACATCACCAGACAGTCAACACAGAAATCAGATTGACTATGTGCTCTGCAGCCAAAGATGGAGAAGCTCTATACAGTCAGTAAAAACTAGACCAGGAGCTGACTGTGGCTCAGATCATGAGCTTCTTGTTGCAAAATTTAGGCTTAAATTGAAGAAAGTAGGGAAAAGCACTAGGCCACTCAGGTATGACCTAAATCATATCCCTGATGAATATACAGTAGAGGTGACAAATAGATTTAAGGAATTAGATCCGATAGACAGAGTGCCTGAAGAACTATGGACAGAGGTTTGCAACATTGAACAAGAGGTAGCAACTAAAACCATCCCAAAGAAAAAGAAATTCAAGAAAGCAAAATGGCAGTCTGAGGAAGCTTTTCAAATAGCTGAGGAAAGAAGGGAAGCTAAAGGCAAGGGGGAAAGAGAAAGATACACACAATTGAATGCAGAATTCCAGAGAATAGCTAGAAGAGATAAGAATGCCTTCTTAAATGAACAGTTCAAAGAAATAGAAGAAAACAATAGAATAGGGAGGACCAGAGATCTCATCAAGAAAATTGGAGATATGAAGGGAATGTTTCATGCAAAGATGGGCATGATAAAGGACCAAAATGGCAGGGACCTAACAGAGGCAGAAGAGATTAAGAAGAGGTGACAAGATTACACAGAAGAACTATACAAGAAAGAGCTTAACATCCCTGATAACCATGATGGGGTGGTCACTGACCTCGAGCCAGACATCCTGGAGTATGAAGTCAAATGGGTCTTAGGAAGTCTGAGCAACAACAAAGCTAGTGGAGGTGACAGTATTCCAGCTGAGCTATTCAAAATCCTAAAAGACGATGCAGTAAAAGTGCTACACTCAGTATGCCAGCAAATTTGGAAAATTCAACAGTGGCCACAGGATTGGAAAAGGTCAGTTTATATCAGAGGTCTCAAACTCAACTTGCCTGGGGGCCGCTGGAAGTAGAGGC